ATCAAGTGTGGTCTGCCCTCCACATCCTGACAGTCTCCCACTTGTGTGCTCTCTTCTTATCTGCTCATCTGAGTGGTCCTGGCTCTCACCCTTGTGTCGCCTTGACACAACTCGCGCAAAACCAAGCTACGCCGCCATCACATTCAATACAACGGTATTCCGCCTTTCCCGCTTCCGATTCCTCCAGGCCTCGTACGAAGCGGCAGTGGACACACTTGGCATCGTCAGGGGGCAGCGCGTCGTGTCGTACCGTCTCTAGCAGCGCGACCTCCCTCTTGTTACTCTGGAGCCAGCCCACAATCGAATGTAACTGCGACATCGTCAGTAGTGCACCAACAGACTTTACAGCGCTGCACTCACTACGCCCGCCGCGCGCTTCGGCACACCAGCGGCCGTCTTCAACGCGTTATCCACCACTCCGCCCGCCATATTTTCGGACTCGAACGCATCGGAAGGGAAAAACCCGGGAGAACATGCTGGCTCAGGAGTGCCAGTACCAGATGATGAATGGTGGGAAGCAGGAGGAGGTCTAGGCGGAGCAGGCAGCACGTCCAAGTCTGCGATTGCATCAGCTCGTTGATCTCACACGCCCAAGGGGCTACTCACCAGCATCTGTAGGAGTACCGAACCGCCCAGCGCTCAGCCCGCGTAACCCGCTCTCACGAGAAGCGGGCGTCGCAGCTCGAGGCGTCCGCGTAGATCTTCCGACGTCCGCAACCAGACCCTTTCTCCCACTCGGAGAAGGTGTGGCGCCCCCAAGCCCAGCGACTCGTCTTCCTCCGGAGGATCTACCGCCCGTACTAGAGCCTTTCTGCACAGTGCGCGTCACAGTTTTCTTCGCGGGCGTGTAGACGGAGGTGCCGATCTTGACTGGCGGTTGGCCGGGGGCATCTTCGACAGCAGATCGTTTCTTGTTCCACCCTTGATCCGCACTTGAAGAGCCAGCCATGAGAACCAGCCACAAATAAATAGAAGGTAAGGACAGGAGGATGTAAGAATGCGAGAAGTGCAAGTCGAATCGGTCGTTATCGGCGCAGAACTTTCTTACGCGCTCACGTGAGTTCTGTAGCGTCGCCGTGCGAAGGCTCCCCCGCGATCGTTGCGGCGTCATACGACGATCACGACAGCGTATAAGCATTAAGAATACGATACAGGTAAAGAGAGCGTGGCAAGATTCAAATTACGATACAGATAATGATACGAGCCTAACCCTAGCACGATCGCGCCTTGGCGCGCTTCCAGACTTGCTCTCTGTCTTCCTCCAAGTCCCAGAAGTTCGACAGACGAGCGTACTGATGGGCCCACGTCTCACCCAGCTCGTCGTCTCTACCTGCGCGCTCCTCTTTCGGGATCCCGCCCACGTTGCCTCCGTAGGCCGCGTATCGCATCAGCGCTCCGCTCATGTACATGGCGATGCTGTAACGCCTGTCTCCCGCTTCCAGCGCCGTATTGCTGTGGCGAACGCCTGCGGAGGAAACTATGATGGACCTATTGGGCGGGAAGTCCACGTAGAGGGAGAAGTCGTGCATAATAAAGCGCGCCGACTTCTTTGCGTTCCAGCTCCCGAGACAGTGCACGCCGCAAGGTACGCCGGGTTGGTTCAGTACGTCGGCGTGCTCGAACGTCGCCGTCTGCGGGCCGCCATTGAACGTGACGGTAGGCCAGACTGCGAGATCGCTGGGGAAGATTAGGTCCGGTAACAGCTGGTGCAGCTGGCGCATACGATCGCAGGCGTGTTCGTGCGCCTTGGGGAAAAAATAAGCGAAGCCAGCTAAGTTTATGTTAGCCGGCGCAAGACGAGCGCGGAGAGGCAGCGGCGCACCGTCCATGTGGCCCATGATGCGGCGAATGTCTGCATTACCCAGCAGATCATCCACAGCCGCGCGCTGCTCTTCGCTCAAGCTGAGATTCTTCGGACGCTGCGCAATAGTCAGCTCATGCAAAGGATCGCAAGCTAAGCGCGCCGACCTTGTCCGTATAGTTGTAGTTGACGCCGGCAGCGAGGGAGACAAAATCTCCGCGGGGCTTTCCAAGCGGCTTCCTCCATGCACGAGGATACGACTTGCGATTGCACTCGATAGCCTGCGCTGCTCGTTCGCCGGCTGCGTCGAATTGTTCTTGCTCGGGTCGATGCTTGTCCTTTGGGCCCGCCCACAACACCGCACCGACCACATCGTTACAGTCAATCACCGCCATGCTCTCCCTGTAAAGCGCCCATCAGCGCTGACTGTCGGCGTCCGCACGCAGCACACTACGAGGACGCACTCTCCATCCCACGCCCAGTGTTCATACTCGGCCCTACGAAGGTCTGCGCCCGTCCACAAGCGTCCCCGTATCTTCAACTTCGGCCCTTTTGCCGTGTACCCAGTCGCCGTCGCCTCGTACACTATGTTGAGCGTGTCCAGGGATATAATGAAGACCGAGTGGTGCTTGCGATAGAATTTTGGGTCGCGGCTGCGGTCGTACGGCCGGTTCCTCGTGCGCTCGCGCTCGCGCGCAGCTTTCTCCTTCTTGCGTCGTTTCGATCCGGCCTGTGACGAGCGCTTGGTGCCCGGTCGGTTCGTCTGCCCGTTGTTGTGCGACGCCACCTTGCCCACGCCACCCTTCTTACCGCCGCCCCCTCTCTTCCTCTTCCCTAGAACGGCGTCTCCATCCTTGCTTGCTCCCGCATCGCGCCTGTCCTCAGCTTCATCCTCCTCATCTATCTCCCTGCCAAGCACAACCTCGCGTACGATCTCGCGCGCATGCACGAGCCTGCTTGCGCGCCAGCTATCGTCGTTGGCCTCGCCTAGCCCGTCCAGACAGTCGGGGGTACTAGGTCGTGTAGACAAAGACGCGTCCGAGACCAAGCCGTCGCGGTCGCCCAGAACTAGGTCGTCGACGCCGTAACCAACCGCGTCGCCGCGTCTTACGGCGAGTTCAATAAGGGTGTCATACGGCACGCCTACCCGAAGAGGCTGGCAGTCCTGGTGCAGCTTCGTGGAAGGCACGGGTTTGGGGTCAGGTAGCGGAGGATGGCGCGGCGGCCATGGCCTGGTCGAACAAGTCTGTTCGCAGTTAGGCGCGTGCGCATAAGCATCAGAGTGAAGTTTCGCACCGCGTCCACGAGCGCCTTGTCTGTCGTCTCGGCACGTACGTCCATCGCTCCTGTGAGCCCTGTCAGCAAGCGTCGTTGAGGTTGGATGGAACGCTCGCCACCCGCCGTGCGTGAGTGCTCTGGCGGAGCTCGTCTGCAAGTTGGGCGGCAACAAGAGTACTTACATGAGAGCGTCTCCGGATCCACGCCTTCAAACGGAGAACGCAGCGCAAGATCGAGATACTTAAGCTTTGGCGGCGACCGTCGTCGGTGAGGGTTGAGTTCAAACTTCAAAAATATCAGCCGCGACTTTGCGCTCGCGCGTCAAAAGCTCACGTGAAGCTCTCAACAAAGTCTATTCCCGCGCCGCAGCAAACGCGCACTTGCCTTCCACCGCAATTGAGCCCACCCACCTCATGTCGAAACCCTCCCTCGAAACGCAGCGGGCAGCCATCCATGCATGTACGTGTCCCATCACAAGACTGCCTTCATCTGCCACCAGGTTCTCATATGTGTTCACAGACCTCGTCGCCCTTGACGCTGGTACGCTGTCTCGATAAACCTGGAGCGTCGCGCGAAACTCACGCTTTTGGCAGAAGCTATGCAGACGGTGGACCAGATCTGGATTGTCCTCCCGCTTGACGAGGCGTTGGCGGCCACCGAATCAACCCGACGAGATCTGCGTAGACGGCGCGAAGCTGCGCTCAAACTATTACACGCGCTCGACTCACCAGCGCCGCCATCTAAGCGCCTTCCGCGGTCATCCTTATCCTCAACCTAGGGGCTTCCTGTACCATTTCAGTATCTAGTTGTAGAAATCAATGCCCCACTTGCCCCTATATCATAATGTGCGAATGTCTAGATCGCGGAAACGCCCGAGGGCGCTTCTGCGCTTCTTCCTGCGAAGATGCGCCACAACAACCGTGCGCCATTCATAAGTCGCCTGTGGCTGGGCAATTTGTACACTGACAAGGAAATGAAAGTACTCTCTGCCTCGTCAACGGCGGACGTGATAACGCCATGCGGACCGATGTGAAGTCGCTCCGCGCACGATCTAATCGTCTTCCACTATCACCACCACCATCACGCGGTCCTCCCTCTCAACATCCGCTCATTCGACATGGACCCCGCCGACACCCCCGCCGTGTTCTTGAACTTTGACGTTCAGGCCGCTCAGCCCGGCAGTCAAATTGTTCATTTCACCGACACCCTCATCCTCCTCCAGACGCTCGCTCCCTTGCACCCGGGTTCTCAGATCGGCGTCATCGTCGAGTTGCTCCAGTTCTGGGTCGCCCAAGACGCAGCAGCACTCTTCGGGCCGCATATGCAAGACTACCCTCCTCTCGCCGTCTTTGATGCGGCGATGCACGATTGTATGGTGGTCCTCGTCAACACCATCATGTCCACGCTCGAAGTAAGCTTACATCTCGCATGGCAACGATCTTGCCAAACCTACTGACACGAGCCGATAGCAGACCATACCCGCTGGCTGGCTTGACCAGATCGCTACTTTGTTCGGAATCTACACACTGAGGTTCTGGGCCGTACGTCAAGATCTGGGCGCCGATGAACCCGACGTCGACATCATCGCCCATGTCCGACAACTTCTTGAGCCCGTCTTCGTTATGGCCCAGTTCATGGCCACGCATATCAATACGCCTGTTTTCGTCGACAACATCGACATGGTCGCCTTGTACTTGACATCCATTGGTATCTCTCTAGGCGCTCTACACGGGTGCGTATTCTGTTCACTATGTCATCTTTTCGGTAGTCGTAGAAAGACTGACCGTTCGTTCCAGGCGCGTCGTCGGCGGGGACAGAGAGGTGTTCTATCGGGGCATTCGTATGCACGAGTCGGCTTCTATGCTGGCCTGCACGTACGTTTGTATCCAGCGCTCGGACCTTGAAACCCCAGTTCCTCTAACGGCGCTTCTCACCAACTTCGAGTTGGCCGCCGAGCCCAAGCACTTTGCGGATCTCCAGACTTTATGGATCAAAGATCTGTGGCGTTTAGGGCTCATTTCTTCCAACTCAGTGCATATCCCGTCCGCGCAACTGGTCTCGCTACGCTCTCCAGCTTCCATGGTTCCGGAGGTGAGGTCGCTATGTTGGTGCCGCGGGTGCACCACGCAGGCCCCTTTCACATCGCGCCGGTGCTCGCACTGTCGGCGCGTCTTCTACTGCAGCGCGGAGTGCCAAAGGCAGTGAGTGATACTTCTCAGCTCATGGAGATGCATCTGATCAGAAGTAGGGACTGGAAAGCTGGACATCGTCACCTCTGTTCCGTGTTGCGAGCCATCAGGCGCGCTTTATCGGACCCCGAACCCGCGCGCCAGGCGCAGCTGGCTCCCCATTATCTTGTACTGCTTGTATCGTAGTTATAGGTTTACAATAACGTCATGGCGATCGTACATCTATGGTTGCGCAAGGGCAGACGGGTTATAAACGCGCATATATGCGTTCACCAACACGCGGCGCGCAAACGACGCTTGCTTCCCGCCGCCATGTCGCCGCTCAGCAGCCTGATGCCAGACGCAGATGCACCTGCTCTAGATACAGCAGGCTTTCCGGATCTCATCTTGGTGCTGGAGGCTCTGCAGCAGGTCTATCCTTCCGAGCTCCGCGCTATCGTCGATCTACTCAAACACTGGGTCGATCTTGATCTTCGCGGCGACTTCGGTCCTCGCTTCACCGACTACCCATCGCGACTCGAATATGAACCGTCCGTCGACGCAGGCATACGCGTACTCGTTGACGGCATGATTCGTGACTCACCCGTAAGCTTCGTTTTCGCTGAAATTATCATGCCTGACCGCGCGAACAGAATCTACCTGGCGGACTTGACTTTCTATCGACCTTGTTCAGCGCCAGCGCGGTACGCATTGTACTTGCCCGGCAAGCATTCGGCGGCGAGGAGCCTGGAGTGAATGTAGTAGACAACGCGCGGCTTCGCCTCCAGCCCGTCCTGCAGCTGACCGCGTTCTTCGTGCCTCGCTGTCGCGATCCCATGTACTCGGGCGACGTCGACGACATCGCAGTGTTCCTTGTCACCATTTCCTTGGCGCTATCCGCACTGGCTCAGTACGCACCCTTCCGTTTCTATGCTCATTTCTATGTTCTCTCTGACGTGGTGTCGTAGCGCGGTCTCTGAAAATACAAGTCCCCGCGCGTTCTATGCAGGGCTCCGATCCGTAGAGTCGTGGACGCTACTTTCACTTCTATACTCAGTTCTTGAGCGCGGCGCGCTTCCTCCTATCGACGCACTGTTTCCTCTTCATTCTCTCCTACTCAATCTCTCAGCAATGGCACATCCTCGCGACTTCCACCGCGTCTGGCTAGCTTGGGTGCGTTTGCTCGCCGAGAGGGGCTCGATCAGCACCAAGTCTGCCGCTCTCCGCGCCAATCAACTACTCGCCATCGTCGAATCACCGCAGGACGCGCCGTACCGGTTCTGCTGGCGCGCCAACTGCCCGAACTCGGCGTCTGTGTGCACTCTTCAGTGCTCACGGTGCCAGCGGGCTTACTATTGCAGTCGGACCTGCCAGGAAGCGTGAGTCCTTGACGTCGGTGTATGCCCAGCCTCCTTAATTCACACTGAGCATATTCAGTGATTGGCATCCGTCGCACAAGTCCATTTGTTCCAAGCTAGCACGGGTAAACCATGAGGCAGATGTTCGGCAGGAGGAGCTGGCGAGCTTGCGCGCAGTCACCATGTAGCAGTAGCGTACCAAAATTTCCCACGTCGTCCTAGGGTTTCGAAGCCTGATGGGGCCACAGCTGCCAACGCTTAATATGACGACATCGTCGCTGTGGGAACCTAATCGCCGGGCCGCTCTGATGCGCAGTTCCGCAATTGACGCTCTTCGTCTCTCTCCCTCTTACCACCAGCTCTGCCAATACCACTCCCGCAGGTTCTACTCCGGCTGCATTATGTGCTGTCCATGGGACACGGTCTCTGGCGGCGGCTTTGGCGTGCGTAATCTACGGCCCGCGCTGGCGAATTTCGGAGCTTTGGTGAAGAGTGGGTCGGGAGTTCCTGAAGAGCCTACTTGACAGATGCTGATAGTCGATCCCTTCTGCAGAACTCTGATGCGGATCGCATCCAGATATCGTACGGCATCAAGCTTCAAGCCTGACTCTTCTGGGGGATATCGCGCGTCTGTTCTGCTACTCACCGTCCACCCCCATCTTCCCCAGCCAACATGGTCGTGCAGATCCCCAACTACCTCCTTCCCGACGACGAGCGATGGGACTTTCTTCACGCTCTCGTCGCGGATATGCGCGACTTCGTACCCAACCCTCAGGCCTGGCCCAAGACGCCTCTAAGTGAGAAGGACGCAAGCGCCGTACTTCGCGCTACCGCCAACTTCATCTTGTCGAGGATGTGCGTCTCCTGCGTGCCGCGTCCGAGATCTACGCTAACCAGTGACTACAGCCCAGACGCGCCTCCGGTCCAGTCGCCCCCTCCGTCGCCGTCGCCATCCCCTGCGCCTTCTGTTATTAGCGACGATGACTCCGAGTCGTTGTCTGTTGCTCGTGATTCCCGCGACCCCGCCGACTACATCCATCCCGTCGACGGCGATGACTCCGACATCGACGAGCTCAACGAATGGCCGCTGCCTAGCGAGATTGTGTTGCGCAATCTCCCCGTCCTCGATATGTACCAGTGGGAAGGCTCCGAGCTTGAGGCCATCTGGGAGGCATACTCTGACGAGTTCAGCGCTAAGCGTGCTTTCACAGCCGTGGCGCCGCATTCCGGGAACGTGTGGGAGATCCCGGCCTCTCATCGCAGGGAGGAGATGTACATCGTTCGCAGCCCGGCGATGCAGTGGGGCATATTCCTTCGGCGCCTTTGCTCCCCCACGGCGAGACGCAGCGCATTTGCCAACTTCATTCCTCCGAACCCGCACCTGCCCGCCGCCCGCGTATGCTTCTCGCACTGGCCGGTTCCCTGTTGGTGGCTGTAAATTAGTGTTACGACTCATGCCTGTCGCTCGCTGTGCCGATGCCAATTTAAACTTTTGAACGCGTGAATCTGTAAGCATCCGACACGGCAACCCGGATCGGGATGGATTGCAAACACGCGCGCTTGATAGAATTCCACGAAGAACTATGCCCGGCATCGGGCGCCTGCTCCCCAAACGCGCCTCTCAAAAGTCTCGTTGGACCGTGCAGTCGCTCGCTTCTCCTGTGCCGCCATGCCCCCAATCATCCCTTTGCTACCCGCGCCTGGTGCTCCTCTTGTCACGCCTGTAGTCGCCGGCACCGCTAATACACAAGCGCTCGTCACTGCTCAATTCGATACTTGGCTCATCTACCTCAATGGCCTCTCCCCCTTCTATGCGGGCGACTTTGGCCCCATCCGCCAGCTCATGCTCGAGTGGATGGAGCTTGAGCATCGTGGAGAACTGGGTCCGCGTCTTAACCAGTTTCCGGCTCTCGCGGACTTCAATAGTTCCATGGACGCCGTCTTACTTGCGGCAGTCGACACTTTGAAGAAACACCCGAGCGTTAGTAGGCCCCGATCTTCTTACCCACCACGTCTGCTAACGTATCGCAGGGTATCAACACTATGCCTGTGTTCATCGCTGACGTGTTCACTCTCTACGGGCTACGTCTCGCATGCGCAAAGCAGGAGCTTGGCCGCTTCGAGGACGGGGTCGCGCTCGTTGCGGACGTCAGGCGCCACATGGAACACATTAACGACCTCGTCGCCTTCTTAGCCCCTCGCATGCGTTGGGAGCACTACGCGCAGCCGCGCGCCCGCGAATCGGTAGCGGGACTAGTCGGGTCTGTGTTTGCAACCCTCGGTCTCCTCCGCAAGTACGCCGACCTTTTACTGCATCGTCCCATCCGCTGATTTCCCATAGCCTTGCAGGGAAGAAGGAGACTTGGTACGATCGTCTGCAGGCCCCAGAGACATTCGGGTACCTGGACATCGTGTACTCGGTCCTCGAACGACAGCCCTTGCCACGCGCGGACGCAGACGTCAACTTCAACGCCATTCTGACCGTAGCAGAGCGGCTGTCAGGCCCCATCTGCTTCGCGGAGCAGCAGCTTGCCTGGGTCAAGCATCTCAAGTCTATCGGGCTTGTGTCGCGTAGCGAGCTGAAGCTGTCCACTCGTCAACTGGTCGCTCTTCGCGCACCAGCCGCGATGAACGTCGAAATGGCCGTCCGTTGCTGGCGCACGGAATGCGACCAAGAATACAATCCGCTCAAGGTCAAACGCTGCAGCCGATGCAAGCGCGTGTGGTACTGCTCTCAGGAATGCGTGCGCTTGTACGCGACTCTCTTTGCCATTCGGTCGTCTTCTCGTACTGACATAAAGCGTTTGAGGGACTGGCCCGAGAAGCACCGCCCGGTTTGCACTACCCTCAAGCTCATCCAAGAGACGCTTGCAGACGAAGCTCGCCAGGAGGAGTTCAAACCCTGGTATAGGGTATTGTAGATACCAGACAGCGCGTAAAACATGTATCCCAATAGTACGCGGATTACCGACCAACCTTATCTCTCGCCGCTGCAATCGTGTCGAATGTACTTTCTTCTGATCCGTGAGATCCTGTTAGATCAAAAAAGTTTTGTGACGTCTCGGGCCCGCAGTGAAAGACGCCATGCGTCGTTCCTTGGCTCTCGCGCTCACCCCTCTCAGATAAGCTTCCCAGCGGCGGTTCCCGATGCGCTTTACTATATTATTGGGCTCGATGCTTCTCTCCCCGCTTGCGCATGGACGGCAACATACGTATTTGGTACGCGGAGGGGCGCGCCTCTGAACCTCTGCTGTACGACGAGGTCAGAGAGGCGGCGGGCGACGTCGATGAACCTTTTGCCCGCTTCCTAATCTCTCGCTGTATGCGTCTGGGCCATCAACCCCTGCCCATCGAGCTTCAATACTTGTCTGGCGGTCCTCATCTTGGCCAATGGTTGTTGAGGGTGACGTCGTATCTTCCGCATCGTCTTCTCATGCTCACAGCATAATACCGCAGTGCAAATACAATCATCCCGCCGATGCCTTCGGGGAAGGTGAACTGAACGAGCCTGTCTCCACGGCGTTGAGCTACTCCGAGCGCTCGCGACTTGAGGAGTACCGTGAATCGCTGCATCTCACCCGCGACCGCCCCGTTACCCCTCGCAAGCCCGGACGCAACACTTCCATCAAATCGACTCGCAAGCCTTCGGACAAAGTTACATCTACGCGCAAGCCCCGCCGCAAGAAGTCCTGCGTATGTCCTTTGCTCTCTGCGTTCCTATCTGTTTCTAAACCATAGAGCGCAGCCCGTAGTGAAGATGTTGCTTGGGGATTGCCCGGCGTCTCCTTCCGCTTCGGCTTGGCGGACTGCGCGCTTGCAAGACCACCGTAATGCTAGTACGCCAACCAAGGCCCGACGCCCCTCCTCCAGCGCATCTCTACAGAGGTCCAGCTCACCTATCCTGATTTCATCCGACGAGGACGGCTACGGTCTCCCGCCATCGTCGCCGCCGAGCTCGCGCTTCTCGCGCAACTCTTCACCCGGACCTTCTGCTCTTCCTCCGCGCTCTTCTTCGCCTATCAACATCAGCAGTGACGAAGGAGAAGACCATGAATTCGAGTCGTCCGGCCGTATCTTCATCTGGTTGTTCCGCGAGGTGAGAGACTTCGCACCGCGTTTACACGGGCTGCTTACGAGCGGCCATACAGAATAATACGGATCCGGAGTTGATCGTCTTACCCCGCTTCAAGGGCGTCCCATACGTAGAGATGGCGCACTACTGGATTCAATGGCAACAACGCGAAATGAAGTTCACCGACGACGTGCGAGTCCTGAAGGTCCGACGCGCTCCGGAGCACGACGAATGGGAACAATGCAAGCTCGGCTCACTCGCTGTACGCCAAGGGACTACTGATCTTGTCTTGTCTCTCGCCCGTGTGAAGTCGTGGAACAAATCTTTAGAGAACGCGCGCGAACACGCGTACGACGGCAAAAGTGAGCTTCCTTACTTAACTCACGACGGGGTCGGCGCTGAGACTTGAACAGTTACGTTTTGATACTGGCGGCAATGGCCGCGATGCGCTTCGAAGTACCGTACACGCGTTCGACTGTAACAGTATATAGCTTGGTGTTGATGCATTGAATGGATGCTACAAGTTCAACGTCTACGCCGCCTAAACCTCCTCTTCGTCCTCCGCCCTCGAGTGGTACGCCCACACGTCCTCATTCTCCAGATCTTGAATGGTGCACGTCATGTAGTCTGTCAAGAAAGAACTGATGCGCTGTTGTGAAGTCAGACGCCCGGATCGCATGCTCCGGAGAACAGGACAGGACGTACGTTAAGGAGCGCATAGCGACATTCCTCATGCGTTGGCTGCCCTATGCCCGACATTCTCCCCGCACGCGCCACTTCTCCACTGAATCGCTCTGCATACGCGTCTCGAATGGTCTTGTCAAGCTCCCTCGCCGTATCGAAGTCTATGCGTCTGGCGTCCTGGCGCATGGGCACGTAAGCCAGGAGGAAACGGCGCTTCGCATCCTTGAAGTAGTTAAGAGGCTGGCGGCGCTTTTTAGCAGGCGGTGGGTCTGCTGGCGGCGGCGAGGAGACGCGCTTGCGCTTCAGGTTCTGCGCGAGCGAGGCGCCGTCGGTGAGTGACGTTCCAGACGACGTTACGCCCATGAAGTTAATGCCTAGATGCGATGGGCGCTGTGAGATGAGGGCGTAAAATGGGACGGGAGATAGCTGTTACCGCTATAGGAGGGGCGCGAGTGCGCGCAAGTGCGATACAGCTTCATCATTTTATCTGCTCAACGCGCTCACCGCTCGCGCGCGTCTGCAGCGTCGGCCCGCGAAACCGACGCGAACGTCGGATCAAATTCGCGGCTACCTTTCCCGACAGCGGACCTACGCTTCGGCCCTCCTCGACGGCGACGTCGTTGCCGCCGCTACCCCGTCCACACTTCAATGTTTGAGTCTTAGTTAATGGCCATTCTGGTGGTACTTTATATATGCCTGACTGTAAAAGTTACATAGCTAGATATTGAGGCGACCGATCAGGATTAGATTGAGTTCACGTCGGGAGCGCCCATCTCCTTCAGCCCTGTACGCGCAGGTGAGCGGCCAGACCAAACGCGCTCGCAACCCTCCCCATCTGTCTGCGCGACTCCTGGTGTATATGAGATGTTGTACCGCATGAAGCAGTGGACCTTGTGCGCGTAAACGTTGAACTTTGGCACAACGTACGGTTCGACTATCCGACGGTGGAACGCGGATTCGACAGCAGCGCGAGCTGAATGACAGGCATGTGCGACAGCGGAGAGAACGCTATGAGACTCCCGAGCAGCGTGAGTGTGGCGTGTACAGAATCGTTTTAAGGGGTCACATACCGCGACAAGAGGCCCGTGGGCGCGACAATCCTCACGCCAGTAGTCACCGGCGCGCCGCCATCTACAGCCAAGAACAATGAGAAGTACTTCTCCCGAGCAGGTATGTGAGACCGGTACCATCTTCGCGTTCGCCAGGCACTGGCATGTCCTCAAGAGCGGGCAAGGATTCGTCCGATCCCCGATGGACGGCGTGAGCGAGGTTGTTCTTCAGTGCGCGTGAGCGATCCCCGTCCAGCAACTGCAAGGAGATATACCGACAGACTCGGTCACTGTCATGTTGACGGTGGTGGTCCGGTGACACGCCCCGCCGTACGGAAACCTTTATACATCCGGCGTTCCAATCCGATCACCGACTTCGGCGCCACATAGCATCGCTGAAGGAATATCCGAGCGATTGTAGCCCACTGGCGTAATAAAATGCATTCATTTCTTCACATGACAGCTTGATTGCACTGCCCCAGTCGGTATACGACGTTCCAATCAACCGCAGATGTTGGAATAGAGCAGGGTCGGAGTAGTAGAGTCTTGCGACAAACGTTCTCAGCTGTGGCGCGGAGCTCAGACGCGCGGATCCGATGCAGCGTTCATAGGTTAATCTCTTGCCATTCGACGCTCACGGTTTGCTCGGTCAATCGGTCGTCATAGGTCGAGAAGCGTACCCGCAGGATGACTAGAAGCACTACTTACAGCCGGTAGGTTTACGATCCTTTTGGGGTGAATGTACTGACGCGTCTCAGTCCTCAATTGGCCCGCGTGTGGTATGACTGCTTTGTCGTCGACGGCAGATCCCCGGCGAACGGAGCTGCAACCCGTACGGGGCTCAAGCGCGCAAAAGGTAAAGGAGGCCGTAAAGTTGGGAAGACCAAAGCTGTGGAGCTGGCCGATAGGTCTGAGCAGATACGCCAGGGAGAGCTCAGGCATGTAGACGTTCCATTCGTGGGGACTAGCGCTCATACTACACAGAGACTACGAGATTCATATTGCACGACGAACAGGGGGGCTAGATGATGAGGCGGACGAGAAATGTACGCTGGCGGTGCGGGCTCTTTGGGATGAGCTGCACGCCCAGCATCTCAACATTGCCCGCTCAAGCCGCGACGCGTCCGCCATCGCTACAACTTACTTAGAAGAATTGAGTTCGAGGGCGGAAGCCGTGGAGCTTCGGGCGCTAGAGCTCATTACTCAAAGAGGTTCGCGTGTCTGGTCGGACAAAGCGCGCCTCCACGAACAACGCAGACTACTGGGAGTTCTACAGCAGGAGAGGGAAATGATGACGTTGGACGATGCGCAGTGCCGAGCCGTCGCGTACGACCGCGCATTCGTAGCGCTGGGCCTACGGTAAGAGCTCACAGTATTCACACGAGCATGAACTAAACGACGTCAGTCTGAAGCAGCGGGCGTTCATGCAGGCTTTCGGGTGGTGGGACGAAATACAGCTCCTACGGAAACATGGGCTGTACGTCGAGGAAGACCACGATAGCGCGTCTGATGCAGAAGAGTCCGCACGCGATAGTGAGCAATCAGTTGGCCTATTCGATGAAGGCGTCGAGGACGACTGGGACGCCGAGGACCTCCGACTGGGCGATGGGAGTACCGCACAGGTGTCGGATGACGAGCTGTACTAGGAATAGATAGAGTTGGCTGTACGGCGCGTGGACCTGGCGTGGGCCGGCCGAGCTTCGGAAGCACACGCTTGCGATTTTGCTTCCGCTGCATTTGCTTTGCACCACCATCTACCCCTCGAACCCGATCGCGTCGTGCTCACCGCCGGGATCTTGCTGTCGTTCGTTAACTGGGCTGGGCTTCTGTATGTCTGAATGCGCTGAAAGACTTGTCTGGGAAGAGGCTCGGGGCTACAGTAGCGGTCCTGTTGCGGGCGAACGCTAGTACATCGAGCTCAACGACCGACACGGCCTTGCGCGGCAACTCACGTACATCCATACGGCACCGCGCTGTCTATCAGACTCGGCGATCGCGCAGGTCGGCGGGACGCGCCTGAACGAGGACGCGATGCGCTTGCAAATGCGACGGCCGGGGCAACGCGCGTCGCATTCGCTATCTGAGCTGGCACCCTTGACCCTACGACGTACCTTGGCGGAACGGCGTGCTCGGGACCCCGATGCCGACATTGTTGCCATTGGTATCAGCCAAGCCGGTGCCCTCGACCCTACGGCGTACCTTAGCGACTTCGGACGCCGATGCCGACGCCCTTTTGCCATCCAGCTGCTCTCCCGCCACCGCAGCTGCCGACGTCGGCTTGCTGCGGCCCCTTCGGAATCGTTTCTTACCGGCGCGATGCTGGGTGGCGACGGATAAGAGACTTGCCGTCGGAGGATAGGCGAGGCGGGTGCTGTATGATTGAGATAGCGGAGAAGGCTTGAGTACGGGACGGCGTGCGTATGTGTACCGGTTCAACTTCCACTTCAAAAGCTGACAGTATCATACAGTATACGTTAAATGTTGAATGTTGTAATGATATCTGGCCGTCTCGCCTCAATCGCGCATTTCGGTGTGGCGCAAGATCTAGGGCGTGATCGGCGCGGCCCCGACCGGTTCTGGCCGATTGCGTACAAAAGCCCGCACCCGCTCGTTCGAAAGCGCGCGAGCGACTCAAACCAACGCTACAACGGCAGCATGAGCGCTCAGCAAGTAAACGGTCGCGGTCGCGTCAAGAAAGTAAGACACCCGCAGAGAGCAACCATCCTCGCGCGCTACGGCGACCGTTGGGCCGAGACTGCCGGTTCCTCGACGCCAGAGACGAAGCGCAAGCGCGTTGGCATACTCAACGAGGCAGAGGCCTGGGTTTGGTTGACGTACGGCACGGATGAACCTTGGCGGGAGATCGGGGAGGAGGAGAACGACGCCCTTATCGATGCGGGGGAGTGGCTTGCGGCAGATGGCGTCGTGATGGACGTCGAGAAGTCTAAGCGTTCTGCTATGCGGCAGGTAAGTGCCGGATTTGATGCGTACTTGTACGTCGCGCTCATCGCCTGCCACAGGATATATGCCGCGTGCTGCACAAAACGACGCAGAACAGAACGACGGAGAACGGGACGACGGAGGACCAGGCGTAGACCAGTTGTAGGGGCGGGTGGAGGTGTCAGGAACCCTAAGATGATGGTGAAGTTGCGCGTGTCGTGTTTACGGGTGAGATGAGCGGTGGGGGAGATAATAAATGTTGGATGTCCCGATTTTTCCTGCGTGATCGCGTCCGCCCCAGCCGTTGCCCGTTCGCGCAAAGACTACTGCTCTGCGTACCGCTTTCATCTTGTTCTCATGACTCGAGGTCGCGCCAAAAAGGTCAAAGACCCCCAGCGCAGCAAACTCGTCGAGAAGTTCGGTGCGCGTTGGCTCGTTGTCGGTGCGAACACGGATCAACCGTCGAAGAACAAGAAGAACGCCATACTGAACGAGGCGCTTGCGTGGGTATACGCGAAACTTGGTAGCAAGGATCCCTGGCGTACTCTCAGCGCTAGTGAGTCTGCCGACCTGGAAACGGCCGTCGTCGATGGCGAGGAGGATGCGGACCCGGCGCCGGTGCAAGAGAAGGTGACGCAGTATCGTCGGATTCGTAAGGTGCGTCGTCGGATATCGCAGCGTTCACGAACAGCCGTTGACCAGGCCCCATCTGTGCAGGACATTAACATGGTGTTGACCTACCATCTCAAGGCCACGGAGGCTGGTTTGGATCCTCAGGTTGCCGCTCAAAAGGAGGCGGAAGATGGAAGGAAGGTGATCGTTGACCTGCTCCAAAGCACCCGCGTGGCCCCGCGCAAGATGGCAGAGCACGCCATGTTCAAACTCAAGATGCGGCAGCCGGAGTGGGACGCTGAGATTCGGTCGGAAATTCAGGCGAAGGAAGAGGCGGCTCAGGCGCAGGGCAAAAGCAAACCGCTGGACGTCAACGTAGAACGCGAGTGGCTGATCAAGAAGTATAAGGCGACGGATCAGGAGACCAAGAACGCTATACGCGCTGCAGTCGAAGCGCATTACCACGACGCGATGGCCGACTTCGAGAGGACGTTGGATCCTAAGACGGAGAGCGTGGACGACGTTGAAAGGTGAGGATTACCGATGTGGACGCGACTCGCGCTGATGTGGATCCGTAGGTTCATCAGCGACGTCGGACCCTTCTTACAGCGCTTAGTGGAGGTCGTCTCGCTCTCTGTGAAAGGTTGCGTCTGTCTTCTGGTTGGTGCGCCGGAACAGGACGAAGACGGCAAGCTTATAGCTGATGTTACGAGGTGCGTCCGTGGCCGAAACAATGGACTACGCTAACTGTGGTGTTAGGTGGGAACATACGGCCATACCTACAGACCTGGACGAAGACCCACTGCAGTACTCCGACATCGACATCGAGGCCTTCAACCACGTCGTGCGTCGTTTCAAGCGACAAGCTCTGCTGGTGTCCAGTAAGTGCGAGCGTCATAATAAACTTGGGTCTGTGACTGAGCGAGAGCAGGGATCAATTTCGCTCCAGGCCAGGAGGATCGTGCGGTGGCTTACGATAAGTTAAGACGGTGGCAGGAGAGCGTGGCTGCTAAGCGCGGTGTGGGTTTCATGGGCAGCCAGTCATCGCGCGACGGGTCGACGCACGAGGCGTCAGCGGGCGGTCTTCATCCGCAACTACCCGGCCACGTCCATCACGAAGACGAGGAGGACGACTATCTAAACCTCGTCAACCCGCCCAGCGGCGCGGCATCTCCACAACCAAACGCTATCGAGACGTCGCCGCAAAAGCGTGCCCCGCCGAGATTTCCCTCGTCTCCACGAACCGACGGGTCGTACAGTCTACCGCCTTCCCCCAAAAGCGTGAGCGAGAAACGGGTTCTGTCTGGTGGAGGTGGGGCTTCGCGGGATGTGTCGCCGACGGGGACGAATGACGCGCCGAAGACGCCGCCGGCACAGCCGGACAACTTGCGTCGCTCTTCACCTCAAAGCTTCCCAGACAATCGTGATATCCAGGGAGGGGAGGGCGCGATGGGTGCAGGGCGCAGCGCGGAGGAGTCCGCGGGTCAAAGGAGCGGTGACGCGCCGAAGACGCCGCCGGCACAGCCGGACAACTTGCGTCGCTCTTCACCTCAAAGCTTTCCAGACAATCGTGACATCCAGGGAGGGGAGGGCGCGATGGGTGCAGGGCGCAACGCGGAGGAGTCTGCGGGTCAAAGGAGCGCCGACCTAGATGGCTTCCTTACGCAGGGCGCCGGAGAGCGCGCGTTGGGCAGCCAACAAGAGATCGAGAAGAGGACTAAGGAGTCGCGTGGCGGTGTGCAGGGAGCTAACGTCGAGGACGCAGGTGGAAAGGTATGTCGTTTGTCGGGTAACGCCGGTCGTGCAAAAGTAACGCGTATACTTCAGGAGGTTACTGAGACGCGCTCTGCTGCAGCGCACGTTTCGGTATTCCGTGACTGGGAGGCTGTAGCTGCCCTGGAGGCGCAAAACCCGAAGGTGAGCTTTGGATCAGCAATAGCAGCGGATAGGGTTAACAAAAGTCAGGACGTACAAGAATTACGAGACGCTGTCGCAGCGGAACTGAACGACGTAGTGCGCGTGCCAGGCATCGACGCGACTTTCGCTTCCAGGGGCAAGCCCGGGGCATGGACACAATTCGTCGAGGAGGCCGTGAAGCGCGCGCGCGAGTGGGCATGCGACGAGAGACTGGTACTGGAAGTGGTACGGGCGTACGTGGAGTTCGAACGCCAGCTACCTGTGAGTTGCGCGACTCAGATGGTGCGCGTACGATGCTGATTGGCGCTGGGTAGAAGGCGACGACGAGAGTCGGTCTGGGGTGGAGTGCGTTCCCACTGCACGGCGAAGAAGATCAGATCCGACCGACTTACCTGCGCACCGTCCTGCCGAGGGCGCAGTACAAGGTGAAGTGGTGCCCTCTCGCTGCTCGCGGCGAAGCGCCAAGCGTCGACGGCGTCGACTGGAACCTAGGCAGTGCCCTCTCCATTCAGTGGGCTCGCCTGCAGCCGAAGGAGCGCCGCGATGATGAGTTCATCGCCGCAGCGCCCTCTGCTGACATGGTGTGGGGGTTAAGCTTCGCCGGGGGCAAGCAGGGTGTTCGCTTGCTGATCCTCGGGCTGCTCCTGTGGGCGGACGCGTTGGGCGAGATACGAGACGGGACCACTGTGCAGGACTGGAATGATTTAGCGGCGGATATGGCTTTGGTGTTACGCGTTCGGGCGGAGCAGGAGAAGAAGTTGGCTGAGGAAAGGGTGGCCAAGGAAAGCACGAGTGCGGGGCCGTCGGACGGGACTAAGAGGTACGCATTCAATCACGCTATTCAGCGTTCGATCATGTCGATCATACGCCTGAGCAGAGAGCGCCCGAAGACCTTAAAGCAGAGGCTATTGGATGCGGAAAAGGAAGCTGCAGAGAAAGAGGGAGGAGGCGCCAAGGGGAAGTCTGGCAGGGGTGACGCGACGGAAGTTGCTGCCAAAGCAAAGAATACATCCAAACGCAAGAAGCCGGACAGTGTATAAGGTGGCGTCTATGTATATAGATATATACGAGCAATACAAACATGCATGGGGTGTTTAGCACGCCTGAGATAGGATTCGAACGCGGGCGCTCGGAAATTGCCGGCTGCGCGTAAACGCGCAAAGCGCTGCTTCGAGCGCTTGGACTCGAACACCCATCTGCCTTCAACCGTCCGGATTCGATGCCTATCAAGGACCAGTCTACTTGTGGGGAGGATATGTCGGGAAGGGACTCACAATCTTGCCGTATCCCAGAGACGGCGCGTTTCCGGGTGCGTGTAGTTATAATAACACCTCCAGTTCTTACCGATATTGACGTGGGCGTAGATCCCAGCTGAAGCAGAGGCGCTCGAGGAGACCATCGAAAGCGGGCTTCGCTTCTCGAGCTCGGAAGAAGTACGTGCTCTGATTGCACTTACGATCTTAACATCTGACGCCCGAGGCAGGAACAAGTTTTTCGCGACGCTTTCCAAGCACGGCTGGTGGCAGCGGCCCGGGCGCAAGAGGCCATCGACGCCGTACGCCGCGCGAGAAAATACGCGGAGCGAATGGAGGAATCGTATGCAGACGCGCACTTGGCGTACGAGGAAATCCGTCGTGAGGTCTTTCAGCGGGCGTGACAGTAGTTATGCTAGGGCGGCCGATGCCGGTAAATAGGACCAATAACAATAACGTTTGACTCAGTCGGGTGTGTAGGCAATTCGACGACGGGCGTGTTTGCAGGGCAAAGGCGCTGCTAAGCGCCGGTTGTGCGAGATCGATTGACCTCGGTCGCTACCCAGACGAGTCCCGCCAGGACACCGAAGGCGATGCGGTGCCAGAGAGTATGGGTCCGGTTCAATTGGGAGGTACGGGGTTGCGCCAGTTTAACAGATTCGAGAGCGCGGCTGAGCGACCCTGTGGCGCTGCTTCTTTTCGACGCGGCTTCCACACCTTTCAACTCGCGCCTCCCCCACGACGCCGTGTGCTCTCCCGGTTGATGCTGTTGGTACAGGTCTATGTAAATGCCGGCGCGCTGGCAGCTGCGCCGCGCGAGGGCTTCCTGCGACATGCTCGCTCTGGCAGTAACGAGGAGGCGCAAGCGGTGAGTCAGCATTTGAGCTGAGAAGACGGAGCGGCGCTAACCTTAACGCACGTTGTAGTCATGCGACCGTTAAGTGATGGCGGCCAGGTTTGTTCGAGCGCGCGACGATCCATGCAGCGGCGCATAGGTTGGGCTATATAAACAGGTGCTGTGCGCCTGATCCTCCTAGCCTCTCCCCACCGCGAACCAGCCCACTGCCCGGCGCACTGTGTACGATGGCAAACGTGAGTGCGGCTTGATCTTGCGGCGGTTCTGAGCTCATCGCGTGTGCTAGAACCTGCAGATCGAAATCGCCCGCGCCGAGATGGAAGTCGCCCAGAAGCGACTCGCGCTCCTACTTGCCCAGGTAAGTCGGGCGTCATTTCGACTTCATTTGCATCCGCGAGAGATTACGCTGACGGTAACAGAGCGCGCCAGCGCAAACTGCTCCTGAACGCACCGTCATGCCGCCGAATGGCGATGTCGGGGTGAGTCGTGTGCCTTTCCGGCTGACGTACCTGAGCGCGCTGACTGGGGCGGCAGGATGTACCTGTGAAGGCCGAGCGCCGCGTGCAAGGCGGCAAGCCCGGCGAAGCTGCGCCGCGTGAAGGAGGCAAGGATACGGCGGACAAGGTAAGGCGTTGCATGCTTGACAAGGATTGATACGGGAGACTGACCGACGCGTTAATCAGGAACCGAACGCTATGCCGCCCGTAACGACCATCGACGCCGAATCGATGCAGACGCCCGACGATGACCGAGGCGGTGCAGGTGTGGACGACAACGGCGAGGATGCGCACAGCGCTGCGGCGCCTGATGATAACGACGAGGTGGAAAGTCTAGTGCGGGAGGACGATGAAGACGCGGAGACGAGCCCGGTTACCGCGAAAACCGAGGCCGACAAAGCGAACGCGAGCGCGGCGCCGACGGACGGGGACGACGAAGATAGTGCGCTCATTGGGCCGTACATCGATCGCGTCCTGCGTTGGGCTGGTGCCGTCTGGTCCGACGCTGAGGTCAGGCCGGGTGTGGACTTCGGCGCGGCGGCGGACCTTGCGACGGAGATGGTCAACTTCGAGGTTGTCAGTTGCGCCATTCAGGTGAGAGTAACTTTCACTTATCGTGCGTGCCGCAGCTAAACAACGGCATAGGCGTCGCGTCCCGCTCCTCTCGACATCAAGTCCGCGAAGCAATGGGTCTCGAAGCAGAGGATGGCGTCGAAGGTGTACGCGACGGTGCCCGAGCCCAACTACGCGCAGCTCGTCGTGGAGACCTGGCGCCGCATCCGCGAGCAGCCCTACAACGACGTCATGAAGATGCACGGCAAGTTCGGGCTCATTGGCGTCGTACGCGCCGTCTACCAGGCCAACGCCGTCGACCCGGAGATGTGCGAGGACTTTAGCGTCCTCATGCTCGAAGTAGCGGACGCGTTGAGGGCCATGCGCGCGAGCATCGGGGCCGCGCGCGACGCTCAGCCGGGGCAAGCGACAGCGCCGCCCATAGCAGCGTCGGCTTCACTCCTCGACGTGCTAACTCTGCGCAACTCCGAGCGGACGGCGCAGGCTACGGAGATCATCGACCGCTTCAGCAAAGCGGACGTGATCGACATTGAGAGCGAGGACGAAGAGCCGGCGCGTGGATCCAAGGGCGGCAGCGGCGCCGGCGGCAAGTCGAGGAAGGCCGCTGCGAAGCGCAAGTCGACGAGCACGCCGGGACCTTCAACAAAGCCGAAGAGGCAGAGGGTGTAAGGTATGGTTTGCTGCTTGAATGATCACGTACGAATATACTGTTTCTGCGCCGAATGTACCCTCGTTAGTATATGAATCGAATTCTTCTTGCATTTCGCTCGAAAGGAACGCGGCAGAAGCCCGGTGTACCACTGCGAGCGGGCTGGCGTACGCTACGTGTGAAATTAAGGGATGGTAATTAAATATACTATCTACATAGACATGCCCCAATACACTTGTCGAGTCGGTACGAAGAGGGACGAGAAGATAGGCGGTACACAGGCGTCGCACGCCCTGTCAAGACCAACAAGATTGAGCGCGTCAGTAGCTTCGACGTCGAGAACTTGGCGCTATAGTCGTATATCTGTAAGCTGGTACACTGCCCAAGTACAGAGCTCATCAAGAGGATGTAAAATAAGGCGAACATCTCCTAATGAGAGTACGTGTCTGCGTACTGGGTATGTCAGCATTAGGCGTTGAAAGGTAGGAAGAGAAGATTAAAAAGGATTTACCAGCGAGATTCGAACCGGCGGAGACGCTGTTGCGTCACTTCGCCGCTCGACTAACAGACCACATTAGATGATAGGTCTAATAGACACACATACTGTCCCGCGCGGATCTCCGAGCGGATCGGAGAAACGCGGACTCGGATCGGAAGCGGCGCGCGCGCGCGCGCGTTTATCTTCCCTGTCATCTTCTGTGTCGCTCTCGTCTTCCCCGGCCCACGATAAGGTGCGCTGCCATATTTAGAGAGGAGTATCACACAACTAACCTGTATAGCCAGGACGGGATGGCGCAAACGGTCGACGGCCCCGCGTGGCGATCGCGCCCAGTCGCAGGGTTGGCGCGACCGTGGTCCTTGCGAGGAGTCGTGCCCTGTGCCCCGGTGCGTAATTACCAGAGCCTCCATGAACACATCGACTCACGAATCTTATAGGCCTTCGCGGTCTCGAGAAGACCGGCGAGCATCAGGATCGCGTTCCGGCGGGCACCTCGCCCTCGACCGACGTTCACGAGCGACGCGGACGTACGTGCCTGCTTTATCGTGACGCGCTGGCGAAAACTGACGGATCGTAGGCCGCGGAGTTCCAGCGTCTGTGGGGGGTCCACTATGCCGCGTATTGGGCGGCGTCGAGGAGTGCCGTACTGGAGCGCTGCGCCGAGAGGGCGTTGGAGGAGCGAGTGGACAGGCTGTGGAGGGCGGAGCGCATAGCGAAGCTTCGAGTACTTAGACGTAAGATTCAAAACTCCTACGACGAGTATACCGCCGCGACAGCGGCGTTGCATGCGTTCGCCGATCGGGTGGGCGTGTGGCAATAAAATATTCGTTTGCTATAGTCTCTTAGTCTCAATTAATGCTAGTGCATTATCTTTTACTTAAGTGATCTGTGCGGCTGCAAGACACAGGGTGTCGACCTCTTGAAAGAACCAGTCAGACCGAATAAGTGGTACGCTGGTCGGTTTAGACGACCCAGCGACTTGACTTGTTGAACGACCCGGCGACCTGATTTTTTGAACAGGCCGCTGGGTTGATTTTCTGAATAACTCAGCGAGTTGATTATTTGAACAACTCGCCAGGTTGTTCATTTGAACGGCTCGGGGAGTCGATCATCTGAACGGCTGGGCTTGTTGACTTTGTGAACAACTCCGCGAGTTGTTCACTTGAATGACTGGGTACCTCGTTTAGCTGGTGTGAGGGGGACGTCATAAGCTATGGATGAGGGACACTTACAACTGCAATGTGGCGTAGTGGCAACGTTGCGCTGACTGCGAGTGTCCTTTTGAGAGCGTCGCGGGTTCAATCCCTGCGGCGGTCAATTTTGGGCACCCGGGCCGGGCCTAGCTGAACAGAAATTCGACTTTAAGTTGAATTGATGATCGAGTCGTTCAACTGGTCAGGTACGTGAACTCACGACCTGTTCAGTTGTTCGACGTCGGCTGCTGGTGGTTAAACCACGTCTCTGCGTCGCGATGCGTCCACGTCGTAGACTGTAGAATGGACTTGTGGTTGACATGTTATTCCAACCACAGCATGCGCACGGTGGTTGTATTGTCAACGTCATTGCCGAGAGTACCTGCAAGCCACGTCCGTACTGTGGTTTTACTGACCACGAGGGCCGATTGTCGATCCGCTCCGCAAGTACTTTGAGCTACTGTATGCCGTCTTGCGGTCATCACGCATCTTGCACTCTCTCCACCGACCACACCAAGTGCAGAACATCGAGCATCCACCGGGTTGCGCTGACAGCCGGGGCATTCTGTCGGAAGTGCTGTTGTATGTACTGCAATAGGACGGGCGACAGTGCGGGATGATGCGACTCAAGACTGTCATCCGGTCGCGTTGGTACTTCAGGAGGAATGTTCAGAGGCTTCATAGAATCGAACTCTTCGCTCGACAGTTCAAACAAGGCCTGGAGTTTTTGCTCCTTCTGTCGTATGCTTTGCGTCGGGATGGGAGAAGAACGACGGTCGGCCGGGTGAGAGCGGGTGAGCTCCTTCAGTGAGATCACGGCAATCGCCGCGGTCACGGGCGCTTCGGAAAGCTTCGGAAACGCATGTTGATCTTGACGTTGGTGTTGTGGTTCTATCAATGTTTTCCTTTTAGACGCTTTGACCGTATGCAGTCGGCACTACCAGTACTCGTGGGCGGCTGTTCGGCTGTACTGGCGTTACTTCGTGGAGGATAGCACTTCTCAGCGTAACTATGATCTCTTGTCTGTTTCCCTTCTGTACCCAAACTCCTGTGATGCGAACGAGGGTACCTTTCGCCTATTTGAGCGCCGGCGCGCTCTCAAGCGGTGATGGGGTCTTCCGCGCGGACTCCACGAGTCTATAGGGCTGTCATGGTAGCGGCGTCTCAATCATTGACTTCAGCGCGTATGAATATAGCTTCCCAGATTATTTGACCCGCTGGTGACGGGCATGATATAAACCCCACACCAGTGCGATGAGGATCAGACAACCTCCTTGCCGCCTACCCGCGGCCACGCCGCCGCTCGCCCGGCAATTGACATGCCTCCCAACGCGTTCACGGCCGGCCCCTCTGGGGCACTCGACAAGCGCACGACGTTCTATGGGCTCTTCGGAAATGTATCAGACGGCGTCGCTGCGATTGCCGCAAATGACATGGACGTCATATTGCAAGACGGGTACATGAGCGTGGTGATGTCTATACTGTTCAGTGAGTGCGCGCCTTTTCTCCTCCATGTCATGCGCTCATCGCCTCCGTCGCAGCGTTTCTCTCCATCGTATTCTTCACGGCCCTGCGGCACTTACTGTGAGTATCCTCCTACACCAGATCTCGTGCGGCCCGAATAAGGTTTCTCACTTCCGTATCAGAAAAGACGGCCTGCGAAGTCGACCCAATAAGTGGATGCTAGCCGCTTTAACGATCATGTATGGATGCGCGACGGTGAGCTACGCCTTCGAGCTCCTCACTTTCAGCCAGGACGTCAAATTCACCACCGAGGACTTCACTGGGCGCTACGACACTTCCAATAGCAATATTGCCTCTATCGCGTCCATAGGACAGTACGTAATTCAGGGTGTGAGCGTACGTATCCTATGTGCCGGCCGATGAAGATGGTTACTGAACCGTTGGGCCTGGACAGGTGCTGTGCGGAGATCTTGTCATCCTCTGGCGAACGGGTGTGGTCTGGCACAACAGCACCGTCATACGGAGACTGAACTTGCTCTTTTTGATTCTGGTCATTCGTGAGTAGCCTACGATCACCGAGCGACCGAAATTATACTCAAGATACCCTCAGTCACCTGGATAGCTGGGATAGCCATCCTCGCCATGTTCGGTATCCAGTTCGCGCTCATTCCCTTGGCTTTATCTCTCTCCATCAACCTATGGAGTACGGGCGCGATCGGCTACAAAACCTGGTAAGTTCGAGAGACGTCTCTCATACATGCCTCGCTAAGATGTTCATAGGCATCGTCGTAACATGCTACGCCGCCAGATCTTCATGGCTGGTCGCTCATCTGGCTCAGCCGTCGAAGGTGCTCTCGCAGTGCTCACAGAGACCGGTATAGCCTACACGGTGTTATGGGTGCGCACTGACTCTCGACTGCGAAGCCCTGCGTCTTGTGCTGACGACGTATCAGATCATCTATGTCGCTGTCGTGGCGTCTTTCTTCTTCGGTCCCAGATCGTTCGACGACGTCGCGCTAGACCAAGGCTTCCAGTGGTTTTGGATAATCATGAACATGTTGATTGTGAGTGCGCTGAGCTCCAGACCATCCCCGCGACGCTAACGATCTTTGTCTTGAAAGCCGCTTTATCCGACGTTACTCATCCTCCTCATCGCTCGACGCATCACGCCGCTCACCGAGACCCTCACCTCGATTGACGCGAGTACAGTGGATTCAAGTCCGACAAGCAGTATCGTGGACGTCATTCCCCTACAAGAAACTTCACGGCCCGACGATAAGATTGGAGATGACCTGTATGATCCCTACGTTGCTATCACGGGTAGTTCTAGTTCGAGTGCTGGTACACCGAGAGGTTCTTTTCGCCTCGAACCCAATAGGAGAGGTTGAGGGCTGTCTGTAAGCCCAACCCATGATGTTTCCTCTTACCTTAGTATACCCTTGTGCCAAATGTAATTATGGACTGCTGAACTCGTGGAAGTACAAGTACTGTGTATGGTTTGCAGAAGGCTGTTCAACGTGCGAGTCGAAGCACGGGAACTACCGGACATGCCACACGTGGACATTTCGAAAGACCCCAACGTCGGCGTTGTCCGGCCTCAAAAACGAACGCCCAACATGGGATCCTTCCATGTTCTCCTCACAATCTCATTCTCATCTGCCGTGCTCCCAAGATACTCGGGACGCTCGAGCGGTATCTCTTCATGTCTATGCGCGCTCAAGGTCGCGTGGTCGACCCAACATATGAGTTGCTTGCAATGCTTGCGTAATTGGGGCCGATGGCTGTGACTTTCCTTCTCTCCGGATGGTCTGATCTTCATACAACCCATGGTACTGACGTCTCAATCAGCATTCTTTATCATAGCGTGGGAAGCTGGTCTTCCAGGCCCAGCAAAATGTGAAGTTTGTACAGCCCGCCTCATATAAGTTCCAAAGACACCCCACCTACCACGACCAGGCGCTCCCCTAGCACCCATCTTGAGGCCGGGCAGGTGCATACGTACTCAGAATGGCCCCTCATCAGCTCGATTCGTCGATCCATCCAGCTCTTGCGACTCGCAACGCGTACTCCTACAGTCTATTTGGCAACGTGTCGGATACAGACGCCGATCGCGCCGAAGCATGGATGGATGCGCTAGCAGCCGGCGGGTACATCACAGCAGTCATGTCCTTACTATTTGGTGAGCAAGTTCCGCGCCAGATCTGGCCCCTCACTGAATCAGCTCGTAGCGATTCTATCCGTCACGTTCTTCATGGCGCTTCGATACTTGCTGTGAGTAGTAAGCTCGAATCCAGACATTGACTGGGAAGCTCATGCTCGTATTCTTGTCAGCAAGGACGGCTTGGGTCTCCGGGTCAACAAGTGGATGCTGGCGGCGGTGACCCTGATGTATGGATGCGCGGCCGTGGGTTATGCCTTTCAGCTCATCACCTTCGGCCAATCGGTCAAAGTGGTGACGGGCAATTTCACCGGACGCTGGGGAAATGATGCGCTCATTGGTGCAGTTGCATATGACGGGCAGTATGTGATCCTCGGCATAAATGTACGAATAGACTCGGTCAACCTGTCGAGGTCGCGTAACTCATAACTCATGAACTTGTGCAGGTGCTGTGCGGGGATCTTGTCATCTTGTGGAGGACAGGTGTTATCTGGCATAACAGTAAAATCATCCGGAGGCTCAACTGGTTCTTCCTTATCATGGTTATTCGTAAGTACTATTGTTCAGTTGATCTTATCATACTTGCTGACGTCTTCCTAGTGACTTGGATAGCCGGCATAACTATTCTATCGATGCTTGGCATAAGTTTCCTTCTCGTACCTTTGGCTTTGTCGCTATCGGTCAACATATGGAGCACATCCGTGATAGGCTACAAGACGTGGTAAGGTCTGAAGGCCATGATGAAGCAGACGATCATACTGATCCGAGAGTGAGTCTAGGCATCGCCGCCGCATGATACGACAGCAAGTGTTCATGGCGGGGGTTTCGCACATTTCTGCCATCGAGCATGCACTGGCAGTCATCACGGAGACTGGTATAGCTTACACTTTGTCATGGGTACTGATGCGCGCATCTGTGCATGAATGATACGCTCACACGTGGTGTCGCTAGGTCGCCTATGTTGTCGTCGTCGCCTACTACTTCTTCGGTAACGCAGATATCTCCGATGTCGCGCTACAACAAGGCTACCAATGGCTCTGGATGATCATGAGCATACTCATCGTACGCTCATTCTTGTGTGCTGGTCCACGCAATAACCTGATCATTTGCACCAGCCACTATACCCGATTTCGCTCATACTTCTCATTGCCCGCCACAAGGCGCCGCTTACCGAGACGCTCACATCGATAGATGTCACCACCATTGCACCAACATTCTCGACAGGCAGCGTTCTGAATATCACCGCCTTCCATTCGGTGCCGTCTGCCTCGGAGAAGGTCGGGGACGCGCTATACGATCCCTATGTCGACGTCACGGCTTCAAGCCCTGGTACGCCTTCCAGCAGCTCTTTCCGCATGGAACCCAATCGAAGAGGTCGAGGTCGAGGTTGAGGTATAGAACGAATGCAAGGATAGATGTACGAATACAAAGCCTGGATCTGAAGGACTGTTTGTCAGCATGTGTATTACTAGTCGCCTGGAGTTCGAAGTTGCTGAATAGCACCCCAATAGAGTTTGGCCTGAGCAATCAATGTAGTACCGGCCCGGAGTGCTTGACTCCTGCCTACGGACTTGACCATCCGCTCCTTGTGCTTGCTTATTAACGCTTTGAGTATGCCATGCTCAGCACTGAATACCGTACGCGTCAAACTGGACAACTTTGGAGATCGTCGTGGCGTGTGAAACCGGCATCCGGGGCGTTTGGGCCCGTGAGGGCGCTTTCCAGACTACTTTGCGTCTAACCATCATCTTCGTCCACTCATGCTCGACTACGCAAGCGAGCGCCTACGGCGGACTTGTGTCTCCCATACTCCTTCACTCCGGGGGATCCATATAGACAATGCTCTCCGACTCGGTTGCACAGCACCATTCAGTGGTCTAGGCGCGCATGATGACGCTCGGTGAAGGCTCGGTCACGGGCGTACGGTGGTGGATCGGGTACCGCCTTGACCGGTGACCGTATGTTTTGGTAACCCACTATGGTCCAATCCTCCGCTCTCGCGGACTGTATGCGCTCTATGTCAGTCAGACAAGGAGTCATACCTGAGTGGGAGATGTAGTCGTATTGCGACGGCAGGAATTCCGGATTGCCTACTAACCGCGTCAGCTTTGTCGAGTTTCGGAGTTGCATAACGAGCGACTTGTGCAACCTCGCGCCTGTGTAGTCAGGTCGTACTTAAGTCGTCAGGTAGAAACATGTATGAATCCATTCGACTTCAGTCGCAGTTTCGAGCATGTCTTCCGCGCAGACAGATCGTTCCAGCGGATCGAGTTCCCCTACTCGCCCGCTAGCACGAGGTCAGGCTTGTATGCCTTGCAGGTAAGCCTACACTCCGTGCGAATGTCTGTATAGGAAGTCTGACATGCATGCTCATGTAGATGGCGCAAAGTTGTGCGTCCACCGCCGCTCGTGTATTCTTCAAAAGGCTGACTACGTTACTCATAGCGATGCGACGGTGTCCGACCGACATGCAATCAGTGCGCAAAAGCGGATCCTGCGCGAGAATGTAATTACCACGACGCAAGCACGTCTCACGCCTCGAACTTGCAGAAGACGGTAACCCAGCTCGAGGCTCGCGTCCGGCAATTAGAACAGGAAGGACCTTCTACTGGCTCTTCCGCCGTATTCTTGCGCGATCCATACTCAGATTCCCCGCTACAAGGGAGCCCCATATGTACGTTACGACGTTCTTTTGAGAGTCTCTTGCTGATTCGTACGAACAGCGCCGTTCTCCAGGTCACCGTCTGTCGGTATCGCCTTTGGCGAATGGCCCTCTCCCAATACCTGCGCACTCCTGTATGTACACCTTCAAGGATTTGTTGTCAGATCAAGGATTCTGAATGACCATGTCTCATAGCACCGACACCTTCTTTCAGCATGTTCAGTGTCTTCCCTGGTTCCTTCACGAAGGCAGATATCGCCAAGCATCGACGTTACCTGAGGGAGGTCTTGGGCGTCCAATCGCCGCTCTCGAGGCCACTGTTCTCTTGTGGGGAAGCATCATATACTTAAGGTCCCAAGGCTTACCAGTCGTGGATGCTGGATTTCTACTGTATGCTCAGAAGCTCTCTTGCCAAGAGCATTCGCATTTACATAGCATCATTAGTGACCAGGCGTCCTCGCAAGTCGGAGTAGCGAATGCCGCTGGACCGCAAGCCATTCAAGTCATACAGGCCTGCCTTCTGCTGGCCGATTACCTTCTTGACAGCAGTCGAGTACTCGAAGGCCGTGCCCAACTCTCGGCAGCTACATCTCTCGCTTTCCGTTTGAGACTGCACAAGATTCGTAGTGGCCAGGAACTGTCGCCACGCATATCGTTCTTGGACCCAATCACGATGGCACTCCCAGAACCTCAAGATACTGTCGAGGAGGGCGAGCGTATTCGTGCCTTCTGGTCTGTCTTCAGCTTTTCTCGGATGCAAGCGGTCGTCTTCGCGCACCATAGTCTCTTGTTGGATTCGGAAGAGGAAGAGAGACGGGTTGACACTCCGTGGCCTCTGGATATGAGCATGTATGAGCATGTGAGTGCTCTTCCATCACGCAGCCGCCCCCTCGTACTCAATCGCAATCCCAGGGTCAGATGCCTCCAAATCTGAGATCTACAGATACACTACGCAGGTTCCTTGAAGGCGTCGGTAGCGGTTGGCCCTGGGACAACGATATACTCACCATACTCGCCAAGGCGAGCGCACTATTCCAGCGCACAGCCAACATCGCCGCCGTCTCCCTCCGCGGTGCGCTGTTTCGCATTTCATGACTATACTCTTCCTGTCGACTGATATCATTTCAGACGCGACTACCATCAACTTGGCAACATCTCTTGAACAGATAAGAGCGCTAGACCAAAGAGTCGATGAACTGGAGACCCAACTTGCTCCACTCACCGCTGGTCCTACGGGGAAGCTTCACCTCGCACGTAGCCTTGTGCTCGCCAGCAGGCTCCAGCTTCACTCGGTCTTCTCAGAGCAATGCCCGGTGTCTCGAGTAAGGTGCCTGGCCGCCGCGCGTGCCATCTGGGAGACATCGACTGCTGCTGGAGTGGACACGTTCGTCTACTTGGACACGGTGATTGGGGTACGTTCAGTGCTTCATCTTCGCGACACGTACCAGAGCTGATGAGAGTTTATGGCAGTGGATCTGGGCTACTGCTTGTAGGGTCATCATGAACGAGATCGTCCAACTTCGCGCGCAGGACACAGGACTACAGGGGATCGATATGGCAACTGAGCCAGGGCTCATGCAGGTACTGGACGGCATCTTTGCACTCATGACGGCCATTGCTGCGAGATCAAGCTCTATGAGTGAGTGCAACAGCCTTATGAAATGGGCAGCAGCTGAATGGGACCACGCAGACTATCAACTCTCCCGGGTAGAACAGGAGCGCATCGTGCTTGGTTAAACAAGCAGTCGCAGTGCGAAAATTGCACAACCCTACATAAAGGCTCCTTATGAAACGCATAGACTAATGCCCGAACAGTCCCGCGTAGGGTTCCGAGCCCGGGGGACTGTGAATAGGTTGTCGGCGCCTTCGGCGCGACACTATTAATTGCCCCATAGACCATTCGTGTTACTTGTATCATAGAACGTAGACTATTCCCAGCAGCATGTATCATACCTTAGTCCACCAGTCGCAATGCACCACTCTCCACTCTTGATCGCATGTACGCGCCTCCAATACACAGCGTACATCTTCACGCCTGCATTTCTCCAAGGTCGTATGTATACATCGGGTATCCAGCAATCCAGCAGTTGTCTTCAGAAAGCACGATCGTATATATGTGTGTACAAGAGCGACAAAAAACTGCTTCAATCATCAAAAGTCATAATTCGAGTCCTATATAATATGTCCATATCCCAGCATCCGGCACGCAGTACCGGATAGAGTCAGAATCGATATCATCGCCGTCCCTGCGGCACCATACCCTTGATCTCCTTCTGCTTCTTCCACCTCGCGAGCGCGGCCTCGTTCCCGGGTATCCACGCTGAGACGGCCTTCTGCAGGTCCTCCGCGGCTTGCGCGTTGTTGCAACGCAGGTTGTATTGGACCATCGCGCCGTTCTCGATCGCAGCGAAGCGGACGTAGCGCTGGTCGGCGGCGACGGTACAGTGCATGCCCTTGAAGAGCGGTGCGTTCACGAGGAGCGAGAGGACAGCGTCCTTGCGCATGACTGCAGAAACGGTGCGTCAGGAATGAATACGTGCAGATGGAGAAGGGAGTGGATGGTACCTATACGCGGTTGGGAGTTATCTACTGTCTTCGCGAGGAGACGCAAGGTGCCGCTCCCCCTCTCTTGCCACTTCTCGTTGGCAAGAACGTAGAGCTTGCCGCGCGCGCTATGTAACGCGTCCTCATCCTCTTCGCCAGTGAACGCTAAGGAGGCAGTGCTTTAGTATCAACAAGCAATAGACTGGCTTCAAGTAACACAAACCTTGTACCTTCCCCTCCTCTCGATTCTCCGCATCGCCGGCGCCGAAGACAGATGTATCAATCGGCTTGTCATCCTCTTTCTTCTCCTCCTTGTGCGTGCGCAGCAGAGAGCCAAACGAGTTGCCGCCCTTCGCATCGCCATCTTCCTTCTCGTCACTGCCCGAACCACTGCTATCCTTCTCCTTCTCCTCGTCCCCGTTCTCTTCTTTATCCGCAGGTGACGACGCCCTTGCGCGCTTAGCCGCGGGCGCCGCAAAGAGCCCCTGTGCGCTCTCGCCCGTGTAGGCCGAGAAGACGCTAGCCGATTTTGCAGAGTTCACGCGTCGAACAGGCGACTTTGAACGTGTTGGGGATTTGGCGCGGGCGAACGGAGATGTTGTACTGGCGAATGCTTCGAAGCCAGTGCGCTTCGCGGGAGTCTGCGAGCCTGCGGCAGGTGAGGCTGGACGGAGGCTTGGCGAGCCCGGGGGACTGGCAGCTGCAGGTGTAGCGAATGGACTAGCTGCACGAAGAGCCGGGTTGCCGCCAGAACTCCAAGGAGAGGGACTCTTGGCCTTGTTGCCAAAGACTGCAGGACCCTTCACAGCCGCAAAGGGCGAAGAGGTAGACGCGTAAGCGAGGAAACCGCCACCCTATGAAGCAAAGAGACCAGTCAGTACCAATTTAGACGTAGGCAGTGATCTTAGACGAGGCCGATCTTTCCACGCGGTGGAGCACGATACGGGTTCCTCTGATGATCGAGACTTACAAACACTGGTGCGGGCGAGGCTGCCGGCTTGACTTCAGATGCGACGGGTTGAGGGACAGATTCTGTCGCCATAGGTTGCGATGTGGTTTCGGTCTGAGCACCATTGGCCTCAGCGGACGGAGTCTTCTCCACCGCAGGAGGCGGTGTCGGCCGCTTTGTGAGTCGCGGGTTCTCGTCGCGGTCCGGTTCGTCGCGTGGGCGCTTGGAGCCGCATTCTCCATCCGACTTGGGCGAGGCAGAGCGCCTATCCTTCACATCGGACATCTCAGCCTCCTTAATCTCCTCGGGCAGCGTCGCCTCAATGGCATTGGGCGTCTTGAGTGCCGGAGTTGGCCGAACATCGAGGTCGTCCACGCCCTGGCTGATTTGCCGCATCTTGGACTCGTGTGGCGGCGAACCACTGGGCGGAATATCCGCGTCCGGGAGATGGATATCGGCAGCGTCGCCCTGCGATGGTGGAGTGATATCGCCCTCGCGCTCTTCGACGGTGGTTTGGAGGGATGTACGGTTCTTCTTTGCCGGGGTGTGCGACACCTTCTCGCGCATGCGCACCGAGTCGGACTCCTGAGCACGATAAGTGGCGCGTTAACAATAAGAAGGAGCAGTATAGCCTACCATATCGTCTGGATGAGGGGTAGCAGGCTCTAGAGATACCTCGCGCTCGCGCTTCTGCGGGATGTTGGTATCTGCGAGCGCCGCATACTCAGATATCGCGGTACACTGAAGAGCCGAACCACCACACGCACCCGAATCTCTAACCTCGTTTGAAGATAAACTGGCTGGTACATCGAGTACGGGAGCAGAGTTTGCAGACCCTGGGGTCTCCTTTTCGGAGGACATGATTCGGATGTGCGGGAGATAGGAGATGGTGGTGGGTGGTCAAGCCGGCAGCGCGCCGGCCGATGCGTCTTTTGCGATGTGCGGAAGCGTGGGGACGTCACGTTGTTGCGCGCGTCCGGGGTGCTGACCCGGGTGGTTCCTCTTCAACCACGATGGCAGGAGCACCCCTGGCGCTGCTCCCGCTTTCATTTCTTTCTTCTACCTAGATCCCTCGCGTAGGCGGGATCCTCAGAATATGCGATAGCCGAAGTCTCTGACTTCGGCCCACTTTGTCCGACGTGAATCGAATGGTACAGCACTCGGTCAGTACGGGACTTGAACTCGGCAGTCTTCCTTTTCCAGCCACGACCTAGGAAGATCAACATGGCGTTCTCACCGGGCCCTTGTACCTTGACGCGCCGAGAAAACGTTGCATGGGTTGCCCAGTGCGCGATCTATCTTGTTTGCGCTCCTCACTACTATCTCCCGAGAGATATGAATTCGATGACTGTTTGGTCGCTCCGAGGGTTCATCTCGGCCAAACCAGCGCCGCCGGCAGTCCAGTATATCCCGCCCACGGTGCATGCCGCACAATGCGACGTGCTGCGGAATACTGCGTCATGGTACTTACCACGCTCTGTCATACCTGGCAGCAGCCTCGTCCTCATTTCCGGCTCTTGAGGACTTCGTGGACTTCCTAGTCACCGTCGTCGCCGCTAGAATCGTTCCCAATACACACCTTTGGGCGGACGTCGTGCTTTGCGTGCTTCGACCGTCGGTCCGAGGGTCAGAACCCCAGAATCGTAATCTCCGGAGCTCTGCAACAACCGTGCAAACACCGCTCACTGTCACCTCGCCGTCACCTCGTGCTGCCTCGTGGGCGACATCGTGAAGATAGGCTTTGGCGGAGGGCAAGACCGCTCATATGCTGCTCGTATAGCGTCACTGTCATATTGTACGTGCTGCCTGATGCTCGTTCTTCAGTTCTGGACCACACAGGCGAACAATCGTATCTTCTGGCCATCTCCATCACGGTCACGTGGGTTACACGGCTGTCTCTCCGTTCGTGATGCACGGCGCAGGCGCAGCACATCGAGTACTCAGCAGGGCATAGGGTTCAAGAAGGCAGAAGCACGAGGTCAGAAACCGGCATCCTTGTTAGCATTTGCTAGTCTCTAACGCAGATGCTTCCTTTCAGTGAATGCCGCACCTCGTTCCGACGTTCAAACCGCGCCGCTAGGCTAATTGCCCCACACAACGCTTCAGAGGGCTGCGGGACGCTCAAAACCTTTTCAGAGGCTCAAACGCACAGAATTCCTGTAAGGGTGCGCGGTCTATATACGTGGGTCTCGACCCACAACCGTGTGAAGCTAACAGGTACGTGTTCTCAGCCTGGCGCCCAGATTGTACTTATTGGAAAGTCAGCGGTCGGGGTTCATTCAAGGCTAATGACAAGAAGCTGCTTTTGGTGGTACGTTCTGCCTTTCTATGATGAGAGACCTCCGGTCGCATACAGACTCTGAACCATATCGTACGCCACAGGTCACACGACACTATCCACGCGCCGGAGGTATTGCGATAATATAGAACGATCAACAACCTACTACGTATGGGTACTGACTTGCGACCTAGCATTTGCAGTCGAACGAAGAACTTGCCGATAGGGCCCTATCATGAGTTTGAACGCCTGTGACCGCCCCTCGGCTGCAAGCTCATCACGTTTCGGCATTTGCCGGATGGCGTCACGGGGCCAGTTGCGTTGCCGCCGGCTTGCATTCTGCCGTCATGTCGGCCTCTCACCCATCGTACTGTGTTGCCTGGAGCCATTGCATGCAACGACGTATCAGCAGCACCTGATTTGAAGATTGCCTAAAGAGCATGACTAGCTATGACGTCTCGAAACCCAAAGAACCAAATTAGGAACAGTCTATCGGCCGTGCGAGGTACATGCTCACGGATCCCTGAGCGTGTCGCAAAGCGTAGTATCATATATGAGGATGCTCGCGCAGTGTCAGCATCCAGCAAACATGGACACCCAAGCCTCGCAGATACACCCCGAGGTACGCGGCTGGAAGGAGATTCTCCCAGTGAAAATATACCACGAGTAAGCACATTGCTCTTTCACGTTCTCCCGCACGTTCAATCATGGTCTCATGTCTTCGGACACAGAGTGTACCCCACGATTGACCCTACTCCGGCATGGAATGCACGTTCCTTTCAAGGCAAATCTGTATTCGTCACGGGCGCAAGTCGTGGTATCGGCCGTTCTACCGCCATCACATTCGCGAAGGCCGGAGCGGCGGTAGCCATCGCCGCGCGCTCACAGGAAGGACTCCAGGAGACAAAAGCGCTGCTTTTGCAGGAGGTGCCAGAGGGGAGAGTCGTCACCTATACCGTTGATGTGACGAAGACGTCAGATATGGAAGAAGCTATGAATGGCGCCGTGGCGACATTTGGAGGTCTAGACGTCGTCATTGCGAATGCTGGGTATAGCAACTCCATGGATACTCGTAAGCTGCTGTCCTTGGCCTTATGGCGGACTGTACTGACTGCGTGTTGCTGTTAGTGATGGACCAACGAGAAGCAGACGACTGGTGGCGCACTTTCGAGGTCAACTTGTTCGGTGTATACAACGCTTGGCGATCCGCCGCCAAACATCTGAGGCAAACGAAAGGATACTTCATTGCCATCTCCTCAATCGTCGCACAAGTACGTTGGCCAGGATCTAGTGACTATCAGGTACGTTGGCACACTGTGGGACTCGGCGTATCGGGCTAACTAAAGGCAGACGTCGAAACATGCTGTCAATAGGCTCGTCGAGTTCATCGCACAAGGCGAGTCCGCTCTGCCTCGCTGAACGATAGTCTGGGACTCACCTCTTTCATCAGAGAATGCAGACATCAAAACATTCTCTTTACATCCCGGTGAGCATTGTACACGCTTCGTCAAGGTTCTGCCCAGACTGATGGCTGATGTCGCAGGCGGTGTTGTCACAGAGTTGGCGGCTGCTACTAAGCTCATCGAACAGGGCGCACCCTTTCCGGATCCGCCAGAGCTAGCAGCATCAACGATGCTATACCTCTGCTCAGGTCGGGCCGACTGGCTGAACGGGCGGTACGTCGACGCAAACTGGGACTTGGAACAGGTCGAGAGGGAATGGAAGGAGAAAATATTGAAGAACGACTTGTTGGTCAATAAACTGGATGTAGTAGGCTTCTGAGATTCCATCGAAAGGGTGTAGTTGCTTTTGATCGAACAGACCAGTATGAGCTTCACGCCAACTCGGTCCGTTATGGCGGCCGCAGAGCGCCGAGGTCCCATCACGGTCACGTGGGTTACACGATCAATGATGCTCGCGCTCTGCCAGTGCAGCTGCCTGCAAGTGTTCGCCTGCGAGAATACACCGGACGCCATACGGAGCCCCGCGTATCGAGACTCGACATCCATTTACTTCAGCGTAAGTTTCAAAGACCGGCATCTATTCTCACCTCCCGCTCTCAAGTTGCAACTCACGCCACTAGGCCAGCATAACACGCTAACGTAGACCATGAGCGCGACTGGCAAGTCACCGCGAGTTCGTAACCAGACTACACAACTAATGTCAGCCTTAGTTGTCCTTGCCGGTATGATTGAGCCGGAATAGGCGATGCTCTACATGTACGCACGGGCACCGCTGCGAGTACTATCTGCATCTATAGATCACAGCTTCGGCGTGACACGGTGGTTGTGCCTGGTATACCTTACCTGAACGCCTCAACTGGATAAGTGTCTTATTCCTGAATGTAGATGTGCATGTGCTCACTACAATCTTAGAACGCGTTTCAGATGGGAGCGCGTTCCGCGCCCGTCGTGGCATATTATCGCAGATACTCACCCTCGCAAGAGAAACGCACGAAGCAAGCCGGCAGCAACCTTTTCAGAATTGACTGATACACAAATTAGCTCGCTCTCAACAGGATGTCGTCCAGTCGTCTTTGTGTTCCATCAGTCTCATGGCCTGTCCACGGTTGCCATGAGCTTTGACATGCGCGCAACATTTCGGAAGCGTGCCTAGAACGACGTGCAGACAATGCAGGAGCGTTGTGCCTACGACCATTTCAAGCGACTTTGCCTGGATAGTCTTGTGCAAGGGGAAGACAGGGGCAGGCATGACTCTGGATCAAGGATAAAGCCGGTGCTATCATACGAGCGGCAGCTCGCCCATTCAACATCGTCGAGGATGGGTACAATAGCCGACTCGCATGCTCCGGTAAGGGAAACGTCCCGGACAGCACGTTGTAGGTTCTCTCTGTATATATAGCTGTCTGAAAACAGATGAGCCTCCAGAGCCTCAACAACATGGCCTCTAAAGTTCCCTCTCAGCTCCTCGGCTCCAACGAGACTCTTCCAGTAACGCAGCACCACGAGTACGTCAACCGACACGTTTCATCGTCCTCCTCAGAAGCTCATGTGTCTATATAGTGTATACTCTACCATTGACCCGACCTTTGCATGGCAGTCGCAGACCTATCGCGGAAAGTCGGTATTCATCACGGGCGCGAGCCGTGGCATAGGTCGTTCAACCGCCATCACATTTGCAAAGGCCGGAGCCGCGGTGGCAATCTCCGCGCGCTCAGAGAAAGCTCTCGAGGAGACGAAGGCCCTTATACTCCAGGAAGCCCCGGAGGCAAAGGTCGAAACGTATGCTGTGGATGTTTCTAAAGCCGCGGACATGGAAGTCGTCATGAAGAGCGCGGCCGCTGCATTCGGCGGCTTGCACGTGGTAATCGCCAACGCGGGATACAGCAACACATTCGACATACGTAAGTTGGCCTGTACTCCAATGAAGGCGCACGCTGGACGTTGACATCACGCCACTCGTAGCGATGCACGAGCGCGCTCCAGACCAGTGGTGGCGTACCTTCGAGGTCAACGTGCAAGGGGTGTACAACACTCTACGTGCCTCCGTCGACTTCTTGCGTCAATCAGGAGGTTACTTCATCGCCGTGACCTCGAACGGAGCGCAGCTTCGCTGGCCTGGTGGCGCTGATTATATGGTACGCTAGATCTGATCATAGCCTCGCTATTTATCAGGATGACTATACGTTGTTACTAGACTTCCAAGCACGCGGTGAATAGGCTTGTCGAATTCATAGCGCTAGGTGAGAGTCTCCAAGAGTTCATACCGGCGACTATCGTATTAAAACTCTGTTCCTTGCGTAGAGAATCCTCAGATCAAGACTTTCTCTCTCCACCCGGGTATGTTCAGGATCACGAAGGACTTCGGCTGTCATTTGCTCAGTAGCGCCATCACAGGAATGGTCGTGACCGAACTTGTGGAAAAGAGCAAGCTCATGGAGTATGGGTTCTCCTTCGAAGACTCCCCAGAGTTGGCCGCCTCGACGATGCTGTACCTCTGCTCTGGCAAGGGCGACTGGCTGAACGGGCGCTACGTTGAGGCGACTTGGGACCTGGGTCAGATAGAACGCGAATGGAAGGGCAAGATACTTGACAACGGCTTGCTGATCAACAAGCTCAGTGTCAACTGATAGTGTACGCGCCTCGCTATCGTAGCGCTCCCCAGATGGTTTTATGTAGCCAGTAATGGCAGCACTGTCGTCGAATTCGTAGGCCTTAAATGGCGATACACTTTCGCTATGATGAAGAGCATCACGGTCACGTGGCTTTATTTCGTCTGATCTTCGAACCCATGCGTCTGCAGGGAGGGCAGGGAGGGAGTAACTTGTACAGAGTGGAGAAGCAACACCACAATACCAGGCCTTTCAGGCTCCTCCACCATCACCACCTCCCCCAACAGCGTCCAAGACATTTGCGAGCTTTGCTTTCTCGCGCCGCTTGGCCCGTTCCGCTGCAATGACGGCCTCGCGGTGGAGTTTCTCCGCGACCACGAACGTGAGCAGAACGATGAAGTCGTCGATAGCGCATGCATCATAGATGCGGAACTGGGCCCAGCCGGCGTGCGAACCCTGCAAATGCGTCTTCCCAGAACGACGTCCGGGAAAGTACTCAGCATAGAGCTCTGCGGTTGAGAGGCGGATGAGCTGTTCTCGTATGATCAGCAATAAGAAGTGCCGGACCAACGCTCAACAAACCTTAAGACCCTTCCCCTCCACTCTCCACATGAAGTCTTCGCCACCGACGGTGAAGAAGCGTGTCCCGGGAGTATACGTGGCAACGCTGAGCGCCTTTTAGTCATGAGGATGCAGACGTGCGAGAGCATCGCGTACCGTTCGCTAAGCTCCGGGTGCTCGAAGAGCAGGTCCTCTGCCTTGATCTTGTATCCATTCCCTCGCTCAAACATCGCGGATTTCACGTAGTCTCCACGTGCGAGCCCTCCCCACTCGATGTCGCCGATAACATGCTCCCATATATCGTTCTGAGGGTCCCAGTACCCCACACGCGTCTTGGCAGTCCGGATTGTAGCATCAGGGTCGCCTTTGGTGTACACGACATATTGAATGTCCTTCTGCGGCGTCTCGAAGACTGTGTCCAAGGGGTCGTCCTCGGTGAGAAAGTACTGCCTGCAGCCTTCGATGATCCTGGATGGACGACGTGAATCACCCCTCTTGATCGAGCGGGAGGAATGTTGGCGGTGTGGGTCCGTCGCCGCAGGTGGCGGGTTGAGATTGGGTAGGCGTAGCATATCCAGAGATTTGTCCAGCCCCGCCTTCATGACACTCCGTTATATGCGGTCCCAATCAGGGGTCATTGCGCGTGCCAGTCCTGAAGATAGTCCAGCGCTGCTGCAGACTGAGACATGTCAGAGGCGACAATCGACACGGCATAGCCATATCCTCTGGCAAGCAGCAGAGTAAATATCAGGCCGGAATGCCATGAGATCCCCGTGCGATAACACGCGTACTGTCTCGCTGTAGGGTGTGAGATCGGCAGTGGGCGACGTTGACTTCCTGGATTCCCAGGCATCCCGCGATGCCTCAGACGCGGTTATCGGACGATCACACGCTCAAGTGAACATGCCATTTGCAGCGAGTCGGCGAATTGGCATATCTATAGCACGTCTTGGGACAAGAGCTTCGTGGTGGTGGGAGGAAGAGTCATGCATGCGGTTCCTCTGATGCGAGCCTGTTGTCCCGCCGCCACCGGTGGTCGCGCGTGTTCATGTAACGTACACGTCAGTCGGACACGTTCTCTAGCGCTCGCTACCTAACATGTTTGTTAACGTCCACCATCTACACCCTTCCATACTCGAGCTTGTCTCCATCTCGGCTTTGCTGCTATGCGTGTACAAGTAGCGGTGCTTTCACTTGCTCTCCCGGCACTAGTGTCGGGTGCACTCTTTCCGCCGGGTACGAAAGTGAAGAGTATCGACGCGAAGGGCTTCAGGAAGGCTATGTCAACAAATGTAGGTTGGACAGGCCATATCGAGGAATAATGCGCTGAATGCAAGCTCCGCCAGGATACGAGCATCGTCGCATTCGTAGCGCCTTGGTGTGGGGTAGGTGCTTAAGCCGCTTCTCTCGGCGAGAGTAGATACTCACTCCAAGCCAGCACTGTCAACGCATGGCGCCTGAGCTCAGCAAAGCAGCAAAGGGTCTCGACCCGCTTGTTCCTGTGTATGCCGTCGACTGTGATGCGGAACAGAATAAGCCTCTGTGCGCTCAACAGGTGTGTGGCACTTCGATGCGGCGTTAGCGCTCTTACTAATGACTGATAGGGCGTGCAAGGTTTCCCGACTGTCAAAGTACCTCCTCTTTACTCATCGATACTGGGCCGTATCTGACATCGCGTCCAGATCTTTCCTCGTGGCAAGACGCTCCCTCCGAAGCCATTTGACGGCCAGGACAGGACTGCCAAGGAGTTCGTCAGCTGGGCTGAGCGCAGTGTACCATCACGATCGAAGAAGCTGTACGAAACCAAGAGCATCGAACCCTGGATCTCAGAGGTAGCCTTTTGCATTGGCTTCAGAGATACCCCTTGCTAAGCACGCACACAGAACACCACTAGCGATCGTCTCCTACTCCTGACAAAGGCGGACAAGGTGCCATTACTCTGGAGTGTACTTGCCAACAAGTACCGGGACAACTTCAAATTCGCGTACCACCGAGATCGCAAGGGGAAGTCCTCGGTTGCACTCGGCTTCGAGGCCGGCGGAGAGAAGGAGTCGAAGCTGCTCGTCTACCCGAAAGGCTCGACGACACCTGTGAGATACCAGGGTGCGAAACACACCCTTACTTGAGCAACACGTTAGTTAACGATCTACTTTAGGAACACTGAAGTCGGGCCCCCTATCAGAGTTCTTTGACTCTATCATCGACGGCACAGCGGACCTCAGCACGCCGAGCGCTGACTCGGAGACCGCAACCTCAGCAGCTTCGGCCACAGCGGAAACGTCGACGGCGACACCGAGTGCCTCTGCTGCATCAGTAGCCGAACCTGAAGCAGAGGAGACGCCAATTGCGGCGCCAGAAGATGCTGGAGCTGATGCCGACGCTGCATCACCAGTACCAGAGCAGACACCGGAGGAGCCGGCTGTTACCGGAGAGGCCGAGGCTACACCCAAACATGAAGAGCTCTGATTGCGTGTGCATATATCATCTCTTGTGTTGGCGTGCATGCTCATATTATTCATATCGCGCCAATGGTGTATCATATATCTATCGGATATTCTGTACCAGCTTGCTCGGTCTTCGAGTGAATGTGGATAAGATCTCTGGCCTGATAAGGATAACCGTGGCTGTATGTATCGCGAGCTGAGGCGACACGACCGTGTCCAGTCTAGTCGTGAGACGCGAGTGCGCTCCTTTCGTACGTTGCTTCTGATCACCACCACGGTTGCGACGTCTAACACGTCAGCAATTGACACGCCCAGGGCCAGCACCACTGTACTAATGCTTTGCTGACCGACGTCGTATTCGCTCAAGGCGACTATCTTCATACTTCAGCGTCGAGGTCTCAGCATTTACAGCCCCATAACCCATTGACCACGGCTTGGCTGACTTCAGCTTGAACCTTGCTGATATTCGGCTTGATCGCTCTGGAATCCTTGGCTTTTGCGCCCCGAGTCGCAAAATCATGTCCATCCGGAATGTGTGAACTGACGGATCCGAGATCAGGGGGCCGCGTCCAAGTACGTGTACTGGGATCTCGACAGCATTCACGCGTATCAATCTACGAGGCGACCGTTCATCACCGTTCATCCACGACGCAAGGCGTCTCATCCCTACCAGCGCTTTCAAAGCACTCGTACGTTTAATCCTGAGCAAGAGCCGACAATGACCTCTGACCAGTTTGTACACAGTAGGACAGAGAAACGATGGAGCGCCGAGGCTCGAGAACGGCCACGGAACTTCGTGTGAAGCGGCTTGAATGGCCGTGGGCGCATCGCTTATTGGGTATGCCCCAATGGCAGATCTTCTCATGTGGACCTCGAGGTGTGAACAAACCGTTTGACGCTGTGCACGGGCACCATTCTCTGTCGCTAAACGCTTCTCAGGCTTTACCGGCTTTACAGCGCAACGGCGTTGGATGTGAACCTTGCAGCTGTCCCGGCTGTCAGGCAGAGAATGTTATTGGGCCACGCATACGGAGGCGCTCTCACACAGGGACTATAATACGGCGATGGGCACGTCCTTGCAGTTCACTCTCTTCCTCAACGCGCTCGGTCGACTCTCCAGTCATGTTCGCATTGACCATCGCGCTTTCCCTCGCACTACCGGCTCTGGTCTCGGCCGAGCTCACCTTCGCCAACTCTCAGGTCAAGACCCTCGACGCGAGAGGGTTCCGGAGGGCCGTAGAGCCAAACGTGAGTCTTGTACGACATTAGTGTCCTCATCATCTCAATACTGTACAGGCTACGAGTCTCATCGCTTTCATGTCCCCGGTGTGCCCGGTGAGCGCTCATAACCTTCACTGATCCGTAAGTTCAATTATCCTGACTTGGCATTAGACGTGCGAACGCATCAGCTTCGAGCTTAGCAAGGCGGCGTTGGGTCTTTATCCTCACATCCCGGTGTACGCTGTAGACTGTGAAGAGGGCCCGAACAGGCAACTATGCGTAGAGCAGGTATGCTAGCCAGCGCAGCGCAATGATTCGCACTTCTGATATACGTTTCATAGGGCGCGTTTGAGCTTCCCACTGTCAAGGTAAATTGTTCCCATGTCCGTGTTTGGATGTTGCGTTGACGCCGGTCCAGCTGTTCCAGCGCGGTTCATCAATGCCTCCAAAGCTGTACGACCTTCCTCAGGAGATGTCCGGAAGCGCGTTCTTCTATTGGGCCGAGCGCAATGTCCCGCATGAGAACAGGAAGTTCTATCATATTGACGACATCAAGTCCTGGATCGCAGATCCAGAGGTACGTGTGGCTAGTTCAAGTTGCCCTCCAGAGTCCACTCTTATACTGACGGCGGGTTCTATTGTAGGAGGGCAGGAGGCCGCGCGTACTGCTCCTCACGAGGGCGAAGACCGTTCCTCTTGTTTGGCAAGTAGTTGCAAACAAATACCGCGACGACTTCAAGTTCGCGAGTCACCGTGATCGTAAGGGGAGGTCGTCCGTCGCGATGGGTTTCGAGGCTGGTGGCGACAAGGACTCGAAGATCTTGTACTACCCTCCGGGATCGACGATGCCCATCAGGTTCCAAGGTGCGCGGCGACTCTTGTTAGTGTCTCCCTCATCCGTCTCTGACTTGCGACATGTAGGTATCCTAAAGACGGATCAGATCTCCAGGTTCCTCGACTCCATCATCGACGGTACCGTGGATCTTACCACAGTCAACGCCGAGGCCGCCGCTGCCGCAGAAGAGTACGAGCCCTCAGAGGAGGAGGAAGAGATTGTGCGACAGCAGGAGGCTCAGCGTATCGCGCTGGCGCATGGCGGTTTCGAAGACCTCATCGACTTCGAGGAGGCGATCAAGCAATACGGCCCGAACTTCCACGGCGCGCACGGTGCCGGAGCACATATGCTGGGCGACATGCCGAAGAAGAAGAAGGCCGCGGAGAGCGCAGAGGCGAAGGAGAAGAAGGAGGACCCGATTCACCGCATTCTCAAAGCCCAAGCTGAGCGCGAGGCGCGCTTGCGGACCGAGAAGCCCTCTCCCATGCCTAACACGGCTAACCCCGAACCCACGGAGACGTCGTCAGTGGACGCGGCCACGGAGTTCGTTGGAGCTACGCCAACGCCGGCGTCAGTGAAGTCCGCTCCCCTACCAGTAGATATAGAGTCTGCGCCCAAGCATGAGGAACTCTAGTCTGTCTTGTGTATACACTATGTATGAGTAGCTTTCTCCGGGTCTTTTGGGTATAACATCAAGTACATCAGGTTTGCACTCTTGCCAGAAGCGAGAGTACACGTGTGAGGACAGTCAATGAAAAGGTAGATGGCGGTCGGTATGTGACTAGCTCTATGGCGCGGCGCCGATTCGGGAGCCTTTGAACCGAGAGATACAACGGGGCGCGGCAACGACGGGGGTCACTGCTTGACGCGGGATTTTGCTTCCCGTTTGAGTGATCCCAAACTCTCGATAAGAAGTTTGATAGGTTTGGTCTCATCTGATATCACTGTGAGCTTTGCAAACGATCTCGCTTGCGAAGATACTCACTGCTCGTGACCAAGCCCCCTAGCCTCTTGAGATGCTTGCCGTCCTTCTTCACCGGATGATCATGGGGAATGAACACGACCGAGTGCTGCGCATTGTTGGTGAGCGTGTTCGAGTAGACAAGCAGCTCGGACGGACCGAAGAGTACCATGCCCTCAGCTGTTCTTCACCCTTCGTCACAAGAGGAAGCGAAGAGTAACCGACGAATTGGGCCACCAGTGAAACCTGGCGTGTTACCGTTGCAGCTGGTAATGAGGTCAATCGAAGACGAGTTGCGATGCAACGATGAATATGGCTCACCTCGGGAATTTATCAACTCCATTACAGCATGGACACCTTGGTTATGGCCGACGAGTATGATATTACGAGCATTGGTCAAGCTGCGTTGGTAGCGGTGAGCGATGGGGGTACTGTCATCGTTCAGGGCGCGCACCAAAGGTAGTTGTCCCAGATGTATGTCATAATGCCACGCGTACTCTCCTTATCGGCTTTCGTAATCTTGGCGGTAGTGAGCGATTGCGCGGCCTTCTGCACGTGAACGGCTCACCAGTGGACGCTTGATGTGCAGGTTCAGATCAACTAAGCCGTATCCCTCCGACTTGCACCAGTCCACGATGCCTTTTGAAGCATCTATCTGTGAACGACTGTTGGATACGCGTGTAAGAAGACGAGAGGAATGGGGGCTTACAAGGTACGAGCTTTCCATCTCGATGTCGCAAGTCATCTTGCTCGCGAGTTCGGCCCTCATGTTACCCCTGCACCGGCGTTGAGCTCATAGCATGGGAGTACTGGATCAAGTGCTGACATCTCATGGGCGAAGAGAACAATGACTTCCGCTGACCAGAGGTCCTTCCTGCATGATATCAGTATATACATAGAGGCTGCCAAGCAGATGAGACTAACGTGCACATCACCTGCGAACTATATTGTTCAAAGGTCTTGGTAATGGGAAGTTGTACCATTCCCAGCTGGCGGTACATGTAATCGGTCCGATGAGCCTGTACCAAGTCTTGTCTATTGAGTGCGAGTTGCATGCTACAACGTATGAACCAAGATACCTGGAATTGACCAGGTGACTTGACGGTCTTCATCTGATCGTAAAAATCAGTATTACGTTCATACGCAACAAGAGGAGCTCCATACCGTCTAACGGCTCCACGGCTCGCATATCGATCTTCTTCCAGAACTGGCTTTGGAACTTTGCAACGGCGAAGATGGTCTCACTTGCTTCTTCTGAAGCAGTAAGAGGCTCCATCTCCGGTGGACTCTCCCCCAAGAGTGTTCTGCCCACAGCTAACGCGGACCTCGCTACCGAGTTGACATTATAGCCTCCCTGCAATTTCGATATCAGGCCAACCGCACATCATGTAGGACCATGCTAGCGTACCTCAAGAGCGACGACCACACGCCCGCCAGCCAGCCTAGAAAGCATATGTGTCATGTGGGCATACCCACCCGGGCTGACCTTGCAGCGACCAAGTTCGTCCCCGTCCGCAGCGTCAAAACCCGAAGAGACTAAGTGTGTATGTATGAGAACTAAATCAAGAGATGGAGGATATGTCGACGTACTGATGACTAGTTCTGGTGCGAACTCCTCCGCTATTGGCATGACTAAACTTTGCATTGCAAGAAGGTAGTCTGCGTCCGTTCTCCCTGTCGACGGCCACGGAATGTTGACGGATCTATAGATGATTGATAAGCCGAACTGACAGGAGCGTACTCGGTGACGCGACAGACCTGCCACGCCCAGGTCCGGTGCCACAAGAGTCCATGGCACCGTATACACCACATGGGTAGAACGTCCCATTCTCATAAACATGTAGAGAAACGTATAGCACGTCTGCATCTTTCTCGAAGATCTTTTGCGTTCCGTTTCCTAGCATACACCATTAGCATGATGCAGTGCTCGTCGGAGCGTATGGGATCTACCATGGTGAACGTCCCTAAGCATATGAAATCAGATATGATGACTTTTGAACGGAACGCGACTGACCAGTCTAAGATCATGATGCGCTTGATATTCGTTTGCTGTTGCACAGCACGAACAGCCACACCGACGTTATTGAAGAAGCAGAAGCCCATGCACTTGTCCGGCTCCGCGTGATGGCCAGGAGGTCGTACATTGGCAAAGGCCTTCTCGATCTCTCCCCGAGCTACTGCGAGACAGACTTCTATCACCCCTCCGCAAGACAGCCGGGCCGCAATCGGTGTAGTAGGACAGACGTATAGACTCTTGGTTTCATAGTAAAAAGCAGAGTTGGAAATGTCTTCGACTGTAAAAGCTACCATAGATACATGCTGTCAGAATTATATGACCACCGAGCTCTATATTGGGTATTCGCTCACTGGCCAAAGACTGCACTTCTTCCCAGACCTCACGAGCATGTGCCAGTAAGACCTCCCTTTCCGTAACAGCACGTATAGGCAATCGTTTCATATGCTTCAAAAGCGAGTTATTTTTGAAGATCTCGTGGACTCTCGTGATCCTCTCAGGAGCCTCTGGGTGTGTGCCATGAGATTGCACTGTGACGGGGTCTTGTCGATGCAGAGTCATCTGTTCTTCGTAAACATATCCCACCCTTAGCCGTTCCGCAGGTCCATCAGAGACATCTTCCAGAGGTTCGGTAGATGTATTCCCGTTTGGCACTGTAGAGTCCGGAGGCGGAGTCGAAAAGCGCGTCGGTTGAGCATCCTCCATCGGTTCATCTGGCCGATGGTTATTCATTGTCAATTTATCCTGCACTATTCCATCCATTCGAGCAATTGTCAGATAGAGGGATCGTTGAGATACGCGTGCAGATAAACGGCAAATAGTGCGTGCTGCTTGAGTCCAGGCAAGCCGAGGTCGTGGTGGTCGGGAACAGAACGCGGCGTCCTAGCGCGTCGCGTCGCGTTCACGTGCGGACGCGTTAAAGGTCCCTGTGGGTCCAGGCACACAGTACGTTCAGACTAACGCGGCAATGAGTTCACAGGTAAGGAATTTGGTACGAGTCAATATATATTGTATGCTTTCCAAAGCTACACGCGCTACACTAGCATCTACAGGGTAGGTAAAGCCTTGCGGCGAACCGGAGGCTTGGTCTTCTTCCTCTTCTTTCCGGCCTCGAACGAGTTCGCCGTTTTCCAGTCCCGTCCAAGGGGGTCATCCTTCTTGACCGCGTAGATGCGGACCTGCAACGGTCATTAGCATCCGTTTACATTGAGTTGCGCGATCTGACACTCACGATCCAGTTTTCTGATGTGTACGCCTCCTCGAGGTAGTCGAGCGTCGGGCCAACTCTCGGAGTCATCTGGTTACGCACACGGTCCTGACCCGACTGACCACCAAACAACTCGTTGTAACGGTAGTAGCTCATCTTGTACATCAGGCTGTTCTTCATCGCCGCGCTTGCCTGGTCGTCGATCCTGTACTCGCCCTGGGGCGTGAAGTAGTCCGGTTCGCGGATCTCATCTGGCCATACGCCTTGCGCGATGCGAACCATCCACAAGAATTTGTTGATGTCGTCGCCGGAGTAGCCGATGAGGCCACCGAAGATGACGAGGACGTAGTCGACGTCGTGCTTGCGAAGGATTGGGTAGGCAACCTCCTCAGAGCTTGACATGGCCTTGCCAACAGTGGCAATGTGCGCTGCGAACGTTGATCAGAAACACGCGCAGAAGATGCGAGATTACGCTACATACTGTTGTTCCAGGTGTTGTTGTCAACAAGAGTAGGGCGGTCGGCCATACCCGCGATCTGGTAACCGTAGTCCCACCAGCTCATGACCACAGCCGTCTCAGGCGTGTTCTGGCGGAGCCAGTAGTACGCCTCACGGAAATCGTCAATAAGATGCATCCCATCCTTCGTATGACTGGCGAGCACAACGGATGGGCTGGAGTAGGCGGACGAGGTGACCCAAGTGCAGTGTAGGACGAAGAATAGCAGAAGGAGCGTCGTGTGCAACAACACGGCTAACCGCGGTCCAAGGCCGTAGATACCGATGGCCGGAGTACCATCAAAGTACTTCTTGACCGAAGCAACGATGTTCTCCGGAGTGAAGGCGATGGGAGGCTCCTCCTTCGCCTCCTTGGTCTTCTTCGACTCTTCCTCAGCGGGTGCCTTTGGCGGTTCAGGTTGTTTGGGGTCGATGTACGTGTCGAGTACATTGGAGATGGCAATCGCGGCGGCAACACAAACGCAGGGCGTAAGCGTAAGCATCAAGCGAACCATGACACCGGCGAAGTAGCTGCCGACGAGGGCGTAGATGATAACGAAGACATGCTCGTCGCGAAGTTGGCGGAAGCACATGATGACACCAGCGGGGAACAGGAAGACAAGGAGTTGCAGGTCCATAAAGAATGACGGCCAAGCAGTCGGTTGATGCTCGGAAACAGACGCGATGATGGGGATATACCTAAATCTTGGTCAGTGTTCGCCTCGAGTGAGTGTAACGCTAAGTCTCACTTCTTGGCGTAACCAGTGTCCCAGAGAGAGTAGAAGCGGCCGGTCCAGGGAGCGATCCAACCCATGTAGGTCAACCCGACGATACCAGCAGCACCAACGAGACCTGCGCCGATAACCGAAACGTAGAGCAAGTCATTGAACTGCTTCGACGAGACATGAGCACGGACAAGCTCGACGAATGCAACGATCTGGAGGAGACCGAAGACGCCTGCGCAGGATGTCAGTATTGTTCGTTTCCTGCACTTCGATAGTACGGACCGAGCGCTCCCATGTGCTCGCTTGTGCGGACAGGCTGGAAACCAACAAATGGCACTTGCATGCTAGCAAGCGTACCAATGGCATACCATGTTGAGTATGCGACGTAGAGACGACTGGTGTAGCGCCCCATGATGATGAGTGCAAGGGCGTGAACCGGAATCATGTTCGTGATGAAGGCATAACCACCTATGGCAATAATCAGAAAGGTATCCCTGCGAAGAGCATAAGTCACGCACCCCATGCAGCTACCATGTAAAAGTAGAACAATGCAGCCAGTGTGCCGAAGAGCGCGCTTCCATCCTTGAGTGCCTTGATCCACAAGTAGAATGTGAACATGAGCAGGAAGATGGCAATGGCCTCGTTATCGTATGAACCAGCGACCGAACGCGAGATGTAACCAGGGACAATGCCGATGAAAGCAGCGGCGAGAAGGCCAGCGCGTTCGTCCTTCATCTCCTTCGTGAACCTACAACCAATTTAGTACTGTGGCGCCACATGGAGTAGGACAGACATACATGTAGGTTGCCCATGCTGTGAGGGCACTAAAGCCAGGAGCAAGGAGCACACAAATGTTACGGATGTCGACCGGTAAGTGCAAAGCCTGAAGAGTGTAGTAGATCACTCCGCTCGTAGCCATGAGACCAGGATAGATAGTCCCTCCCACGACACGTCCGAGCGGGTACCATGCTGTAGGGTCGAACCAATTCCAAAATTCCTATACATGAGCGAGTCAGAACACATACGTAGTAACGCTATATTTCATCAACGCACGTAAAAGCCCTTCGAGGCAAGCACCCTCGTGGCGCGACTACATTCCGCTTAGCTTATACCCCGCCCCGCGTCAAATAATGCTCACTAGTTGAACCATGGGTCGCTAGTGGGAATCATGTCTCAGCTATGACTCTTATAAATAATATACTTTCTGAGCGTACAATTCGTGGATAATACTCTCAAAGTTCACGACAGCGAATAGACGCGACGCGATGGCCGCACCCGAAATGAGGGCAAAGCAGACGATCCGGACCAGCGACGACGCGTTATTGACCGTCGAGACCGGAAGGCCGGTCGGTAATGGGTATGCCAGCGGCATGACCTACAACTAGCTTTCGCTATTGAGGTCGGATATGGAGACAAGGCGGTCGAGAGCAAGAGACGTGGACGCGACGCGCGCAGCAAGTTCGACACGTCTATTGATCTCGTCATGCCGCGCTTCTATAAGCGCCGCCGGCTATTTCTGGCTTGCCTCTCACCGTCATCATATTCACGCTTGGTCGACTATATGATCGTAGAACACTGTGAATTCGACTAGGGTATCGGCATAGGAATGCACAATGCTGCAGGTAATACGGCAGTACCGAGTCTTGAAGAATGCTCTACTGGTTGACGTCAACTCCGATCCCGCCGTGCGCCGAGTTCAGATGGCGGTAGATGTCGTCTGCGTGGAAGTCGCGCCCGCACGTCCAGCGAATATGGGCGCCGCAACTAGTTAGAAAGTGAATATGCATTCTCCCGTGCGGATAACAACGGACGTACTGGCATGACATGTGGTTGCAACCGTCGATCTTCTCCATGAAGACGCTGCACCTCGGGCATCTTCTCACCCTGCCACCTTGACTGGCCATCCACTCCTCAGCCATTTTTTCCTGCACAGCAAGGTCGCGCTGCATGCGGCTTTCCCTGCAAGAGATCCCGTCGTGTCCATGTTCAGCGCCGCAAGCCGAGTAGACAGATGCGAGACAGGCAGGGCACTCCACGGTCTGTGGCCGGCTGGTAACGCGATAGACTTGTTCACAGTCCGGTGTCGAGCAGTAACGCAAATGATGCGAATGCTGCGCAATATATGCGATGAAGATGGCCTTCGACAACTTGAGAAACGCCGCTGGCGTGAGGTAGCGGCGGATGTGTGGTATGGGTAGGGGCGTGCCACATTTCGCATCATCGGCCATGCACGTCAAAGGATATCTGGTGGTGCCAGTCGCGCTGGTGACAAGATGTTGAAGACATGACGAGCACGTTGCATGACCGCACCCGAGCATGACCGGCGTGTCTACATCGCACAGGCATACAGGACAAGGCATATCAACGGAGTCTCCAATTCGGTGATGTCTTCTTGACTGCTCAACGAGGCGGGAAACAGCATGGAGAATGTCATCGGTGTTCGGAGTCGTCAGAATGAGCGATGCGGGGTCGAAGTGCACTTTGCCGCTACCGCACATGGCAAGCCTACAATGTTAGGCGGCACCGAGTAAGGTGGATGAGATCGAATGGGGACTCTTCAATACCATTCTCACGCGGATGCCCTAGTTGAGCGCAGGATGTAGAACATTGCGGCTCGGTCCGGCAATTGGAGAATGTCCTGCCAAAGGAGTACCAATATGTTCAAGATGGTAGTATAGTTCGGCTGCTATTAGGTAAAGCGAGAAACACCATACTTAGGTATCGTTGGGGAGGCGCTTCAGATGGTTGTTCTGGTCAAGCTCTGTCGCGCGGATCGGTTGTCGCGTCTCGGCCGTGTTCGTCCGATACCGGGTCCGGTCACCCCGGCATCGCGCCGCGGCCGCACAAAAGCTGCCATCAACCACCACTACGGTTACATGACTACACAGGCCTACGGTTATAGCGGAACCGTATATCGATAGACCCGCCATGGTGACTAGGATGGAAATAGTGATGACCATGCCCGAGCTCATCGACGCAATTTTCGTGCATCTATCTCGCGCGGAGAACGCAGTCACAGCCCTCGTGTGCAAGCAGTGGCTCGAGATCTCGCGCGATCATATCTGGTACGAGGTCGAGCGACCTACAGAGCTCTTCAATCAGCTCTCACCTCTTCAACCTGAAGACGAGAATGCATATGTGAGTAATCGAAATTTATAACGTTCTCACATCTCTGACCGGGAAATTAGGAGTTTGTGCGCATACCCAGACAAGCGGATTGGACTGCCTTCGAACCATTGGCTCGCCGAGTTCACCGCTTACCATCACCTGTACCACCATATCACGTCTCTTCACGCATGGCAGGCGCTCTCCTGCGCTCTGCTACAAGACCGCGGATAATTTTTCCCAATCTGGAATACTTGGCGTGGAATGTTGGCGGACCTCAAATGCTGGGATGGGAGAGCTTGCACTTGCTATTTCTACACCCGGGTGTTCGACGAGTTGGGTTGCAGGCACTTGTGCCGGGAAATGTTGACACTGCATTTGGCAGCTTGACCGATGTGGCTGCGGAGATCGCTGAAATGTCCCCAAACATGATACAACTTGACGTGACGACAACTACCCGTGAAGTAGCAGGCCTCGACGAGCCTCTCCTACCCCTTCTATCAATTGCATCGTTGACACAAGTCAACTTATGCCAATCTCTCTTCACGCCTTTCGTGCTGGAGACGGTGTCTCTACTCCCCAATCTACGAAGTTTGCTCGCCATCGACCCTGATGTCTACCAAGAACATATCAACTACGACCCTGTCAGTGCAGCTGACTTCTCCCGCCCACTCGTCCTCGCACCTGGCGCATACGGTGCACTCAAGAAACTGCATCTTGCCATGCCAACTGCAAATATGTCGTCTTTATTGAACGATACGTGCTTCCCCGCCACTCAACTCCAAGAGCTCAGAGTCCGAGTCCTTGATGCCCCCACTTCAGATGCGACGTCGACCCTGATATCCACTATCGCAACTCGCTGCGTGCAGCTCCAAGCACTCATCATGAACTTGTATCCTCCCGACTTCATCGAGCGCTCGACCGTAGAGCAGATCTTATCTCCGCTCACCGCATCAATGCTCGCGCCTCTACGCTCACTCAAGGAGCTTGACGCTATCTTCATACACCATCTCATGCCTGTATCTCTCTCCAACGAAGAGTTTTTTCACCTATTGGCAGGCCTCCCTTCTCTCACGAGACTCTTTCTCGTACCACGACCCGATTACTGGCCGAACCCGCCTGATCAACCGCCCGCGTCGTGCTTCGACTGGCAAACACTCATCCTCATGGCGCAAAAGTACCCGCACATCACACGCCTAGGGCTTTACGTCGACCTCACAGGGCCGGCGCCAACCACGATTCCGGCTCGCTTCCCAGCGCTGGGTGTACTTGAACTTGGCACGTCGCCCTGCCCACTCCTGCGTAGCGCACGCGCCAAATTGGCGACCGCGTTATGCGGCATACTCAGCGGTCGAACCATACTCGCATCGGGGTTTCTGAAGAATAGCACCTGGAATGTCAACCCACCCGTGTATGCCGATCCGTCGTTCGAGGCGGATCTTGCGCGATGGGCTGAAGTGCGGACACTGGTACACTTCGGTTTGGCCCTCATTTCGGGCGCTTCTCGCGATGATATCTGTAAAGATGATTGAATGGATTCTATCGAATGGTGTATGAAGCAACAATAGGGACCACTTCTTGTACGAGTACAATATGAGTGTAGTATAGCGCTGATCATGATATCATATATTTATTGAATCTAGTGCTGTCAACGGTTCGATGGCGTAGTTGGTTATCGCATCTGTCTAACACACAGAAGGTCCCCAGTTCGAGCCTGGGTCGAATCATGAACTAAGATGTTGAGTAGATTTTGCACTTGAGTAGTCTTGGCCACTGTCCGAGTTTTTCTGTCAGATGCTCGCAGTCTGTCCGAGCTGAAAGTTATTGATTTTGGCCCGCAGATTACGTCCGCAATGTTTCTGCCGACATCTGGCTTTCCAGATATCGCACTTAGTTAACTAAGGACTGCTCTGGAGCCCAAGATATCGCGTGCGAAATAGCATAGATAGCGAGCAACAAGCAAAACGAGCGTGAAATAGGTATATCAAAACCATGACAGCGAAGCAGCGGCGTGTAGAGAGATGGGAACCCGTATTCGTAGTTCGAGCCAGTAAGCAAGTAAAGCGAGCGAGTGTCAAGTAGCCGATTAAGCATCCGAAAGCAGTAGCAGGGCGAATCCGTAATCCACATATACACATTCCGTATCCAAACTTCCAATTTCCGATTCCCGATTTCAAGATTAGAGGGGCCGGGAGAGCAGCCTGATGAGCGACGACCAGCGTCTCTCCTCTACCCAAGCAACCCCTCAGCACCCTCATCTTTGCTCTCCTTCACAGGCGTCTTCCCC